ACCTCCTCCTCCTCCTCCTGCCTCTTTCTCTCACCCAAATATTCTTCTTACCTTTTTTTTTCTCCTCCTTCTTTTTTCTCTTTTGGATTCGTCTCTTCCTCTTCTTCATTCGATTTCAGTTTGATTCTAATTCTTACTAATCGAACCAGAGGTTTAGGTGAATGATTCCGATTTGTTAGACTTCGTCTGAAATGTTCGCTTGAACGGATTTTTGTAATCCATTGCTTAATCGGTGCGTCTTTTCGAGATTTCTGTTTCGAAATTGTTTTCTGCGTTTTTCTGTGTTTTGATCAATCCGAGTTTCGTGGTTGCATCGGTTTTACGAGCTTACGATGTTATCGTCGATGGTGGTGATGTTATGAGCTGCTTTGTTTTCTGGGGATTTGAGTATTTTTTTGCTATGAGAAATTTATATTGATTTGATCACAAGTTTATGCCGTGCAATTTCTGGTTGATCGTGTCGCGTTCATGATCTGCTCCAAACTTTTGATCATGATACGTTTAATCATTTCGTTGTTCTCCAGAGATTTTGTGGCTGTGTTCGATCGTTTGTACTTTGCTCAAAAATTATACACGTGTTCTAGTGATGTTTGCTTGATACCTATATACTGAGAAATTATGAGGATGATTTTAGTTTTGTGAATTTACTGCTTCTGAATCATGATTTTGGGTTATATTTGTTGGAATGGCTCGTGTTGTTTGATCTCGTCTTCTTGCTTAAAACTCTGAAAAAACTTGTTAAATCTACGAATGTTTCCGGATCATGATTTGTTTGATCGTTTCTTATCCTTTTTAACTGGAAATATGTCATAACATTTTTAGCATTAAAATTTCTTCAATTGTGTTCTGTTGAAGTGTTGATGCTTAAGCTTAAGAATCTCTCTGAACAACTTTTGGACTACTACGTCCTAATTATGCTTGATATGTTACTGATTCCGTTTCACTATCTTGTTCATTTCAGGAAAGTGTAACTGCAATGAACTCTGTATCCGTCACTCTCAAATTCCATGTAGCTCCAGAATTCTCTAACATAAACCACCGTCGAATAAATGTTAAGTTTATGCCAGTCAGTAGGCAAGCAATGCTCGAGCTGTGGATGCCTGTGACCGATACATAGTTTTAGATTTAATTTGTTCTGCTAGAGGATAGAGGTAGTCAAAGATTGTTATTGCAAAGATTCGGTAGTTTCTAGGGAGTTTCTAGGGATTTGGAAACTGACATCGCAGAAGTTCCTTTGAGCATTGGTTATGGGTCTGCCACAGACTGCTTCAAGCGAGCAATCCCATGAAGCTACGTCTGCACCAAGTTGCAGCCTTTCGCAAAGTCTGCCTGTGTACGCCACTTCCCATGATTCAGATGGCCTTAATAGAGGAAGTGAGGGAGGCATCTGCTCTTCCATTGGAGAATTTGTTAGGAAAACATCACTGGAGCCTCTAGAGCAGACAGATGATTCGTGTAGATTCCATGGCACTCGTGTTGAGACCTCGTCAAGTGCTCAGGGATCGACTAGCTATGCTGCTGATAAGGTTGGTTCGAGTCTCACTGGAGCTAGAAGGATAGTTGGTTTTGCATCAAGCGAAACTAGCTCAGTGGACAACAAACAAACGAGTGTAGCTGTTGGAGTTACAGGAGTAGATATTGGTGGTGGAGCGTTAGTGAGGAAACGAGTACTCTCCCCTCTGAACACTCTCTTCCCTGTGAAATTCAGAGGTGACCTGCTTGATATCAGCTGTAGTAGTAACCACCAGCAGATTACTTATTCTGGTATCTCTAATGGATTCTGCAATTCTGTCGCACAAGATCACAAAAAGGTTAATCTCGCTAGTAGGTTACATCTCTCAACCACTCCTACGTCCACATCCACAGCCACTTGCTGGGAGTGGAAGAATGCCTCAGACGGTGGTAGACTCTCGTCCATGGTCTTCTCTGATGGTCCATTGCTTGACTCTGTAGACCTCCGCAGACCCACTAAAGGCGAGGTTTGCTTATATTCGCCAGTATATGAAACGCATGGAATACCGAATATGCCATTGCCTTGTGATAAGGATATATCTGTCTCTCCACCGCTTTCTATGTCACCACTTGGTCCGAAGTTTTCTGAGAGGATAAAAGCTGTAAGAAGTGGCCAAAATGGGAAGGTAGTTGAAGATTTAAGGAATATCAGTGAGGAAGCAGGATTAAGGATTGAGCGTAGATTGTTTGACGATGCGTATGCTCTTAGGAGAGCGTTCTCGATGGACAGAGGTATTGAATCAGCTCCTGCTTCTCCGTGTAAAAGGTTCAGTAGAAGCTTGAGTGGACGTCCCATTCAGAGGTCATTGGTTGGTTCTTTCGAGGAGTCACTCTTGACTGGAAGATTGTCATGCGGGACAACAAATCAGGTTTTCATCACTAATTCTGATGCTTTGATGACTCCACTTTATAGGTCTTTAGATATTTACATTCTTGAACTTGCGTAGGTCTCTATTTATGGAAGAAAAATGAGCAGCTTTAGAAATTGAGGACTTGTAAAACTGGCTATAGCAGAGGAATGTGTATGTTTTAATGTCGTAGTTATCTCCATCCTGCTTAGTGCTTATGCAAAAGCCAAAGACGCAGAACTAAGCTCCTTTGAGTAAAAAAGGTTTTTATTTCTTTGTTGAATTAGGCTCTTGACTTGTGTCTGCTATTTTTTGGTACAGCAGATTGACGGTTTTCTTGCCGTTCTTAGTATTGCTGGGGGAAACATATCGCCAAAATCACAGAAGCTTCCATTCTCAGTAACCAGTGTTGGTGATGATTGCCTCTTGCTATACTATGCCTCCATAGATCTCGCTGGAGGATCTAAATCGAGCAAATTCTGGGGACAGAAGATGAAAACAAGTCAAATAAGCTCTGATGCTCAGAGTTCCAAGAGCCAACTTCGGATCCCCATTAAGGGTCGGATACAACTGGTATCTCCCCTTTCTATTTGCTTTTTGCTCTATTAATTCTGCATTTAACATATATGCTGTGGCCAAAAACTCATTTGAAGGATGGTTGCAGTAGTTTTCTCGTGTAAAAGTAGCGGTTTAGCAGCTGCAAGTCTCCCTAAATTCCAAATAACCAAATGCTTATGCAATATTTTCAGCAATTACTGATGATTGTTTTGATCATCAGAGTATAGTTTACTAGTTTAGTATTTCGATCGTCACCTAACCAAATTGTAATTGTAATCCCTGGCTAGTTGAAACTGTTTCCCCAGTGTTACTAAATTAGAGTTTCGAAAAGCTCTAAATGTTCACTCATGATATAAACTGCTTTTTATGCAGGTTCTTAGTAACCCTGAGAAAACACCTCTTCACACCTTCCTCTGTAACTATGACTTAACTGATATGCCAGCTGGTACAAAGGTAACATAGAACATAAAAGATTACACATTTTCTCGTAGGGTTTCAAAGCACTCTGCCTTTGCATTTTCAGTTTCAAGAAAAGAAAGTGATTCTGTGTTCAAGAAAGAAAATCATTAGTAATTGTTAAAACGTACCTTCTATAGCCTGAGCAATTGAAGGTAATAGGGCCTCAGGCAAGAACAATGTACCTTCTTTTGTTGAACTGATCTTTTGTTTGTTTTTGTGTATTGTATAGACGTTCTTGCGCCAAAAGGTAACTCTGGGATCATCTAATCCAACTACTGAAGGAACGCAAGAGAACACTAGAAAAGCCAAAAGCTTGGAAAAGGAAAACTCTAAAAATGGGAACAGGGAAGAATGTGAAGGATCTGATTCAGTGGAAGGAGATGAGAGATTTGATGAAAGTGGAAAAAGCTGTTTAAAGTCGTATAACGGTGGTTCTGGTGCTCTACGGTACGCTCTTCATATGAGGTTTGTTTGCCCATTACCCAAGAAAGCTTCAAAGAAACCTGAAGAGACCGAAGCCACTGGACAAAAGAAAAACTTGGATTCAGACGGGAAGAGGAGGTTCTACCTGTACAACGACTTGAGAGTCGTGTTTCCTCAACGCCACACAGATTCCGATGAAGGAAAGGTACGGCTACGAGATTTGCGTTTTGAGTCTTGACCAGCGTTTTGTAAACATATACGTATAAACATCATTTTGTTTGTTTGTGTTTGTGTTGCAGTTGAAGGTGGAGTACCATTATCCAGAAAATCCAAGATACTTTGACATCACAGAGTGACTTTGAATGGTCCTTGTTCCACGAGGGTTGTATGGTCTTCTTGCTTAAGAAGAAATCAGTTGACCTTTTTGTACATACTGTTAAAATGGATAATGTTTATCCATTATATTATTTTATTAATTACTTCTTTAGTAAGTTTTGGTCTCACCGACTTGGTGCTAGTATAAATATGTTGTATTCGACATTATATGTTATACACATCGAATGAAAGAAACTCATCTCTCTCTCTCTTGTAACACACCAACACCTCTCTCTCAATCAGTGTTCTAAAAGGCGGTCTAGGCAATGCCTAGGCGCTAGACAGTTATAAACCGTAGTGATTATCTTCTTGGCGTCTAAGTATTTATATACCGTGATTTTATCTATATTTTATTTATAATTTAATAAAATTCATTTTTATGCATATTTTTATCTAATATAAATATATTATACTTTTCATAATAAAGTTTTAATGCTCTTTTAATTTTTTAGTGTATTTGAATTTTATATTTTTAAAATATATATATAATATATAAGTTTATTTTGTAAATTTCCAAAACGCATAGCAATCACCTAGGCCCCGATTAAGCGTTCTAGACGCTAGGCACTGACTTACCGCCCGCTTAACGCCTAACGCATTCTTGAACACTGCTCTTAATACAGAAGAAAAACATTTCACTATTCTCTCATCTCTTCCTCACGTACATCAACTCTCTCTCTTACTCCATCAGCTCTTCTTCTTTTATTAATGAAATCAATCCACTATATATAATATATAGTGGTACATATTCAGTTTATTTATCACGTTATCAGTACGAACTGCTCTTATATTCTGTCTATTCAATTTTGTTGTTTATATGATATGCCGGGATGCTAGGTTGTACCTACTCCGAGCAAATGATCATATGGTAGACTATGTCACCTTATATCATATAAGAGTTGATGATAAAAATCTCCTTTTGGAGTTGAGACTTTACCTCCTCCTGAATATTTACTTTTCTGTAATTTACTTTTTCGCTATTTACTTTATTGCCATTTAAATTCCTGCTATTTACTTTCTTGCGATTTAAATTCAGCACCTTAATTTTTACTAAATTCATGCTGTTATGGCCTAAACGATGATACTCATCTTGATGTTTCAGATTTTCTGGTTGACTCCGAAGAGATCAACGGAAAAACAGACGACTAAAAGGACATGATATACATAGTTATCTTCCTGAATAAGATAACCTAAAAGTTTGATCTTTTTGTTGTAAAATAGTTTTTAATGTGGTATTTTGTATCTTGTGATATAAGCTTTGTATTGTTTAATACTTATTAATGCATCTTTGTTAAATCCAGAAATGACGAAATTTGAGACTCGTGATGGAGATATGTGTCTTGCAGACAGTGCTACAACGCACACAATACTCAAAGATAAAAGATATTTCTCCGGTCTCAAAATTAAAGATTCCGTTGAAAGCGTGAATACCATTTCTGGTGGTGCAAAAATAATATTGGGCTCTGGAAGAGCCAATTTTTCAATGCCAAGGGGAACAAAGTTTGAAATAAATGATGCATTATATTCCCCGAAGTCTTATAGAAACTTATTGAGTTTCAAAGATATCCGTAAAAATGGATATCACATAGAGACTATAAATAAGAATGGCATTGAAATCCTTTGCATCAAATCGGAGGGACAAATATTGGAAGAGTTGAAAATGATGTCCTCCGGATTATATTGCACAAATATTACTCTGACTGAATCATATGTTACAGTAAACCCGAAGTTTACTAGTACATTCAAAATCTGGCATGAAAGGCTAGGGCATCCAGGTTCAGTCATGATGAGAAAAATTGTGCAAAACTCAAATGGCCATCCGTTGAAATACGGGAAAATTTTAGAAACGGGCGAGTTCATATGTAATGCATGTTCTCAAGGAAAACTCATAACTCGGCCATCACCAGCGAAAGTTGGGAATGAATCCCCTGTGTTCTTAGAGAGAATACACGGTGATATATGTGGGCCTATTCACCCACCATGCGGACCGTTTCAATACTTTATGGTATTAATTGACGCATCAAGTAGATGGTCACATGTGTGTCTTTTGACAACACGAAATACGGCTTTCGCAAGATTCATTGCCCAAATAATCAGGTTGAGAGCACAGTTCCCTGATTATACTATTAAGAAAGTGAGATTAGATAACGCTGGTGAATTCACTTCACAGGCCTTTAATGACTATTGCATGTCATTGGGAATCGATGTTGAGCATCCGGTTCCACATGTCCATACACAAAATGGCATGGCTGAGTCTTTGATTAAACGGTTGCAACTGATTGCAAGACCGTTAATAATGAGAACAAAACTCCCAATTTCTATATGGGGTCATGCTATTTTGCATGCTGCAGCGTTGCTCCAAATACGACCAAGTGCTTATAATATATATTCCCCATTGCAATTGGCATCTGGTCAGGAGCCAAACGTATCCCATCTCCGTGTTTTTGGTTGTGCGGTTTATGTTCCGATAGCACCGCCACAAAGAACAAAAATGGGGCCACAAAGGAGATTGGGAATATACGTTGGGTATACGTCACCGAGTATTATTCGGTATCTTGAACCTCAAACTGGTGATATGTTTACGGCACGTTTTGCCGATTGCCATTTTAATGAAGATGAATTTCCAGCGTTAGGGGGAGGAATTAAAGAGGTTCCAAAAGACCTCACATGGTGTACACCGAATTTGTTACACTTTGATCCCCCGACAAAACAACGCGAATTGGAAGTTCAGAAAATTATACATTTACAAAATATGGCAAATCAATTACCAGATTCGTTCACAGATACAAAAAGAGTGACGAAATCATATATACCCGCTGCAAACGTTCCATCAAAGATAGATGTTCTAAGGAACAAAATGATGGAAGCATAGCAAATGCACCCAAAGTCCAATTAAAGAGGGGGAGGCCGATGGGCTCTAAAGATAAAAATCCCCGAAAGAAAAAGAATTTGGGAGAAAAGGTTCAAGAAGAACCTAGTAAAGAAATATGTCCTGAAGACATAAACAAACTGGTTTTTGAAGAACCAGAGAAAGAGATTCGTCCAGAAGACGAACATGATACAGAAAAATTTGAGATTTCCATCAACTTCGCCCAAAATGGAAAAGTATGGACAAGAAATGAAATAGAAGATGATGATGGAATATTCTCTTTTTCTGTATACAAAGAATTGATCATGAAAGTGATGATCCAGATCCAGAAACAATATCAGAGTGTCTCAAAAGACCTGATTGGGAGAAATGGAAAATGGCCATCCAAGCTGAATTACTCTCCCTCAATAAAAGAAGTGTTTTTGGACCTATTGTCACAACTCCTGAGAATACAAAACCCGTCGGGCACAAATGGGTTTTTGTAAGAAAAAGAAATGAGAAAAATGAGGTCACAAGATATAAAGCCCGACTTGTGGCTCAAGGTTTTTCTCAAAGACCGGGAATTGATTATGAAGAAACATATTCCCCGTAATGGATGCCATAACATTCAGATTTTTGATGAGCTTAGCAGCGTCTCAAAATCTTGAAATGTATCTCATGGATGTTGTGACAGCATATCTATATGGATCTCTTGAAAATGAGATATATATGAAAATCCCAGAAGGATTAAAAATGCCTGAGGATTTGAAATCAAAGGCTAAGGAGATCTGTTCGGTCAGATTACAGCGATCACTTTATGGACTAAAACAGTCCGGACGCATGTGGTATAATCGCTTAAGTGAATATTTGTTGAGTAAAGATTACGTCAACAATGCGATATGCCCTTGCGTATTCATTAAGAAATCCTCGTCAGGATTTGTGATTATTGCTGTATATGTAGATGACCTGAACATGATTGGAACTCAAAAGGAAATTGATGATGCAAGAACTCATATGAAAGAAGAGTTTGAAATGAAAGATCTTGGAAAGACAAAGTTTTGTCTTGGGCTCCAGATAGAGCATTTCCAAGATGGTATATTTGTGCATCAGTCAAATTACACTAAAAGAGTGTTAAAACGCTTTTATATGGACAAAGCAACTCCTTTGAGTACTCCAATGGTTAATAGATCTCTTGATGTTGAAAAGGATCCATTCCGTCCTTGTGAGGATAACGAGGAAGTGTTAGGTCCTGAAGTACCTTACATGAGCGCTATTGGTGGACTAATGTATCTTGCAAATTGCACTAGACCAGATATAGCATTCGCTACTAATCTGCTTGCAAGATATAGTTCGTCCCCTACGCGCAGACATTGGAATGGAATAAAACATATTTTTCGTTATCTTCAAGGATCAATTGATTTAGGATTATTTTATCCTAAAAACTCAAAATGTGTTTTAGTTGGTTTTGCTGATGCAGGATATCTATCAGATCCACACAAAGCTAGATCACAAACAGGTTATGTTTTCACAATTGGTGGAACCGCGGTCTCCTGGCGTTCGCAAAAGCAAACTTTGGTTGCAACGTCTTCAAATTATGCAGAAACTATTGCTCTCCATGAAGCATGTAGAGAGTGTGTGGCTCCGGTCTATGACTCATCACATACAAGAATCAAGTGGAATAGCATAGAGAAAGAGCCAACAAAAATATTTGAAGACAATTCTGCATGTGTCACACAACTCAAAGAAGGTTATATCAAGAGTGACAGAACGAAGCATATTCCTCCAAGATTTTTCTCATACACTCAAGAACTCCAGAAAAATCAAGAAGTGGACATCGAGTATATTCGTTCAAGTGACAATGCAGCCGATCTTTTTACAAAGGCGCTTCCTACTACAGTGTTCAAGAAGCATGTTCACAGTATTGGAATGCGTCGTCTACAAAATTTGTGAAAAGAAAAGATTATCATTTTTCCAGGGGGAGATTATGCTGCGGTACTCTTTTTCCTAAGTCATAGTTTTTATCCCATTGGGTTTTTCTATGACATAGGTTTTTTAACGAGACGTACAACCTATAATACATGGATAATTAAGGGGGAGTGTTAAAAGGATAATTATCCATTATATTATTTTATTATTACTTCTTTAGTAAGTTTTTTTCACCGACTTGGTCTAGTATAAATATGTTGTATTCGACATTATATGTTATACACATCAATGAAAGAAACTTATCTCTCCTCTCTCTTGTAACACACCAACACTCTCTCTCAATATAGAAACACTATCTCTCATCTCTTCCTCACGTACATCAACTCTCTCTCTCTTACTCTATCATCTTCTTCTTTTATTAATGAAATCAATCCACTATATAATATATAGTGGTACATATTCAGTTTATTTATCACATACAGATTTTATATAGTCACGGTGGCTTTGATCCACTTTGTACAGATTATCATTTCCGGATTTTCTTCAAAAATAAAATTGAAAAGATAAATAATTAACTAGTGTTATTAATATTTATTTATAAATGCTTTTGGTTACTAACTAACAGTTGCATTTTTTCAATAGTTATGTCTTAACACATGGTTTAAAGTTTTGAACCGTTCATTCATAATCAGAAAAATATTTGTGTTTTATTTTGAAATAAAAAAGAAAATTAACTGTGATTACATATATACAGTTAACTTCATTATTGGCAACACATAGTTTATATAAATCCGCTAATACTATTACTGCAACATGTAATTCATATATGTACAGCTAATATCATTATTGATAACAGACAATTAAGATATACAGTTAATATCATTACACATTAAAGCGAAGATGTACAAATTTTATTTACGTTTAATCAACTAAAATCGTTCGTTCATAATGATATCCACGTTTCTTTTTGAGTTAGAAAACTAATTTCTTTTCAACATTATCATGTTTATACAGCTAATATCATTATTGACAACACATAATTCAGATATACAATTAATATTATTAGTGAATAGATGCGTAAACTTATCTAGTAAATAGAATTTGATAAGTTAGAAATAAAATCTATAAAATTTTGTTTAAGTATTGTCAATTGGAACCGTTCGTTCATAATCAGAAAGATATTCACGTTCTATTTTGAGTCAAAAAAAAAAATCTTTTAACATCGTCATTTATATACTCACAATACATGGATATGTATGTCAACTTATTTTCTAATTATAACATGATAAGTTCGAAAGAAGATCTACAAAACTTTTGTTTACGTGTTGTTAACTATAACCGTTCGTTCATAATCAGAAATATCCGTATTTAATTTTGAGTCAAAAAAACTAATTTCATTTTTAACTGTATATAACAACTAATATAGTAATATATTACTGGCCAGCCATATTTATTAGAATTTATTTTGTTACCATATTTACTAGAATTTATGTTGACCAATAAAAAAAGTTACTAGAATTTATATAAATAAACCCTCCTTCCACAGTTAACTAAGCGGTCGGAAACAAAACGAAAAATCGAGGAATTGTTGTAAAGCGCCGCCGATTAACAGAATTCTTCAGTTGATCACTCTCTCCCTCGATCTCTCTCATACTCTCTCTCAATCTCGATCTCTCTACCTCGATCTCTATCTCTCTCTCGCATTCTTTGGAGTTTCGTGAGATTTATGTTGATTTTCGCTGGCCTCCCTCTCATCTAAATTCAGGTAATTCACTCGCCTCTCTCTCATCTTCCATAGTCCTTTCCAGAGAAATTTATGTTGATTTCCGCAGCTAAAATTCCTCTTTAGGATCCAAGTTTCAGACTTTAACCGATACTAGGCGAAAATGGGTTTTTGATTATAATTCATACTTTTTTAATCTCGATCAAATTGTTTAATCATTGCAGAATTCAAAACCCTTAAGAGAAATTATGTTCAGTCATTTATCAAATTCAAATTGAATTCGACCTCTTGAATAGTTTGAAATTCTCTGTTTTAAAGTCTCTCCTTAATAGTTGTTTGACTGCTCCCTTATGACAATGTAAATTTTGCTTTTTAGTTCTGATCCTCTGCTCTAGCTTCGTTTAATCACAATGCTTCTCTTGCTCTTGTGTTATTGTTACGTTCCTTTCTCTGACGATTTGTGTGGCTTACATGATTTTGCTGGACCCTATAGCGAATCTGGTTCTTGGTAACATGATTCTCTCATATTGTTTGTGTTTCCTATGAAACTTTTATATCAGTCTTGTTATTGAGCTGTTGTTGATTCGTTTTTTTTTTTCCACACAGCTGCTCTTAGTCAAAACACCTCTTCTTGAAGAGGAGAGTCATAGATAAGGATTCTCCAAATGGAGTATAACAAAGAGGAGGCGACGAGAGCTAGAGAGATCGCAAAGAAGAAGTTTCTAGCAAATGATTTGCCGGGCGCCAGGAAGTTCGCGATGAAGGCTCAGTTCATGTATCCAGAACTCGAAGGGATCGCTCAGATGGCGGCCACATTCGACGTTCACGTATCCGCCAAGAACATAATCTACGGGGAGATAGATCACTACGGCGTTCTCGGCGTGAATCCGGAAGCTGACGACGAAACAGTGAGGAGACGTTACAGGAAGCTGGCTGTGTTGCTTCACCCTGACAAGAACAAGTCGGTCGGAGCAGAGGAAGCGTTCAAGTTCCTCTCGCAGGCGTGGGGTGTGTTCTCTGACAAGGCCAAGAGAGCTGACTATAACATGAAGAGGAACCTTGGCATGCACAACAAAGGAAGAGGTGCTTCCACAACGTCGTCGTCATCACAGAGAGTTGTGAACACAACGAAGCTCAAGACTTCTTCAAAGAGAGGTATAAAACGGGCGAGTGAAGCGTCTGCGTCTGCGTCTGGTGTTGCTGCTGCGGCTGCTACTTCTACTGCAGCTGCTGGTGGTGGAACGTTTTGGACTGTTTGCCGCACTTGCAAGACACAGTACGAGTATCATCGGATTTACCTGAACCAGAACCTCCTGTGTCCCAACTGTCGGAAGCCGTTCATAGCTGTGGAAACGGATCCTCCAGGTTCAGGCTCCATCCGCAAGACCTTTAACGAGCACCAGTTTGACTCCATCCGTCAGGCGACAACAGACGGAAGAAAGAAAAGCAGAGACGGTGGTAATGGTGTGTATGGTGGCGAGTACGATTCGTTTGAGTGGAGTGGTGTGTACACTGGAGGAGCCAAGAACCCTACTCATGCTCCTCCACGGAAAGACGAGGTTGTGCGTAGAGAGTACACCAAAAGAGCGCCTGGTGTCTCGATGGCTAATGCTCCCAAGAGAAGAAAGGGTTTGGAGAATGGAGTTGCTGCTGGTTCCAACACTGCAGGTGGTTTTGCTGCTAAGTCCAACACTGTGAAAGAGCTTTCCGAGGAGGATATTAAGAACGTGTTGAAGAAGAAAGTGAAACCTTTAGTCAGAAGAAAGCTGCAAGAGCTATGCATGGCAGTTCCTGAAACTGCAATCGACGAACATGGAAGGCGATTGGTAGCCGAGGATCTCGATGGTGACAATGCCGCCATTGAATCTTCCTCCGTGGACTCCATTCTTGATTCTGACAAGGTTTTAAACTCCTTGGAAGACCTGACGGTGGATGTTCTTGAGCCGGATTTCTGCGACTTTGACAAAGACCGAAGCGAGAAGTCGTTTGCTGATGACGAGATATGGGCTTGTTATGACTCCATAGAGGGGATGCCTCGGTCCTATGTCATGATAGAGAAGGTCATCTCTGTAGAGCCATTCAAGGTGCGTATCGTTCGGCTTACGTCAGAGACAAAGAGTGAGCTTAGGTCAACGAGGTGGCTTGGTTTCGGTATTGCCAAGACTTGTGGAGATTTCAGAGTTGGTAAAACACAAACCTGCAAGACACCTTACGTTTTCTCACACAGAGTGAAGGTGGGCAAAGGCAGTCAAGGAGAGTTTCTTATATATCCTAGGAAAGGCGAGGTATGGGCTCTTTACAAGAACTGGTCCCTTGACTGGAACTATCTCAGGGAATGCGAAAGGGTCGAGTATGATCTTGTGGAAGTTGTTGAGGGATATACAGAGGAGTATGGTGTATCGGTGGTGCCTTTGGTTAAAGTTGCTGGTTTCAAATCTGTGTTTCATCATCATTTGGATGCCAATGAAGTCAGGAGGATCTTGAAGGATGAGATTTCGAGATTCTCGCATCGGATACCGTCTTACTTGCTCACAGGTCGTGAAGCAACCGATGCTCCCAGAGGTTGCAGACAGCTTGACCCTGCAGCAACACCATCAGAGCTTCTTCAGGTTATCGATTATCATCTTTAAGGTGTGAAGAAAAGATTCAAAACTTCTTTTTTTATTCATGGGGTAATGTAGTTTGCCTAAACATGAAATTGATGTTTTATTTCTGATTTATGTAAAACAGGATCTGTAACTCTTAGTTTTCATCTTTAAGATGTAAAAGAAAACCAAACTTTTTGTTTCTTTGTAATGTAGTTACATGACTTTGGTTTGATTTCTAATTTATGTAAATCAGAATATATAAAGTTTTCATTGTGTTTTGTTATAGATGGTGAAGTAAAATACGTGAATCACTATTTTTGAATATACATGAGGTTATTGGAGGCCACATGAAAATTCTTTTGTTAGAGGTTTTTTCAAACTTTTATGTAACCTGGCGTTACCAAACGTCCAGATACCTATTTTTATCCACCATAAATTGATAGTTTTGGTACCTCAATTATTAATAGAAACTTCTATTAATAGAGACGCAAGAAATTATAAATGCACGTAGATATCTAAACAATAAAAGATCTAAACATCTAAACTAACAAACAAACAAAATGAAAAATTTATCAATCTCTATAATTGTTCTTAGCCTCTGCATGATTAACCACCATGTACACGGGGGAATCAAAGTCTCAAACGAACTCAATTTCAAGAAAAAACTCTGGATGAGCTGTTTCTCCGGAGATAACAAAATAGCTCCACGAATATTAGAACCTGGACAATCTTGGGACTTCACTTTCAACACAAACATATGGGGGACAACGCGTTTCATGTGTACATTAAAGCAAGGGCCTAATTTTAGACACCATCAGAGCTTTACAGCATTCAAACAGGTCAGTCCTTCGGATCGTGGAGGCCTATGGGATTGGAGAGCTAGAGAAAATGGGATCTATTTAAAAGTGTGGGGAGGCAAACATATGCAAGGCGAGGTCAATATGCATAAAAAGTTTGATTGGATTTATTAGTTTACATAGCGATCGATATATATATATGAAAAAAGTTGATACATATTCTTCATCAAGACGTAAGAATAATTACTATAATATTTACCACTAGTTTAAGACAATATATATGTAAAGATAGTGTCTACAACATATGACTACAAAAATATACATAAAAAGTTGTGTTGCTTCTATTATTTAACTATTTATGAATTTTATACTTGTAAATGATTATATTTTATTCATTTTATGATTTACATGATTTAAAAAGGCATAACTAGCTCACTGATGATAACTCAAAAATGTTTCAATATAAGTGTAAAACAACTAAAAATCAAATTAAGACTGAAATAGTATATATTGTGATATTGTGAAACAGAGGAAGTATCGATAAAACAGAAGCACGCCTAACACCTGTTTTATGTGTTTAATACTAAAACTATAGAAACCATAGTAGTGTAATTTTTTTTGTTGGTAATCGTAACCGTAGCCGTAGTAATTTGGTATAGTTGGAAATGAAGAAACGACAAGCTATTTCACAAAACCCTAATCTGTGTCAAGCCTAACAAAATGACAAGACGCTTCACTTACTCAGAGTCAGAGAAAGGCAAAGCCATAGCTTTTTGAGAAACCTGATCCTCCAAGAATGAGAATCAGAGCTCCAGATCTCGTCAAAGAAAACTCCCTAATCCTGTCCCCTGATAGAAAGACTCACAAACCCTAAAGCCCAACGCGGCAACGCCTCTGGTCAATGATCTCGTTCCTCTATCAACGATGGAACAAAAGCTATCGATATATGAGAATAAAAGCCATGAAACAATAACGAAGGTCACTTTCAATACCCTCGAATTATTTGTAGTCTTACCATAAATCAACTATTAATAGGAAATATGTAATAATAGAGAGACAAGAAAACTGTAAGTGGATATTGTGCTCTGTCTTAATTCTGTACGTTCGTTAGTTTTTTAGTAAACAAGTTTTCCTTGTTTCTCCTATATATATATATATATATAGTATCGTAATTCGTATGTAGAATATTCCCGAACAAGGAATTGGGAGGATCGGTAACGAACTCAGAAAAATCTTCCCAATTTCTTTCTTCTTGACCGTTATTTCTCACAACGAGAAAATGAAAAATCTCTCAATCATCCTACTTGTTCTTAGCCTCTCCATGATCGTTGGCCATGTACACGGCGCCGGAGTGAGGATCGCGAACGAACTCAGATTCAAGAAACTGCTAAAGATGGAGTGTCATTCCAAAGACGACAAGATAGGTCCAAAAATCTTGAAACCTGGAGAGCATTTTCGATTCCTTTTCGGCGCTGACTTTTTTGGGAGGACACGTTTCAACTGTAGGTTGAGTCAAGGGCCTAATTTCAGACACCACCAGAGCTTCGTAGCGTTTAAACAGCACGTTCACACGGATTTAGGAGGCGTCTGGGATTGGAGAGCCAGAGAAGACGGTATCTATTTCAAGAAAGAGGGCGGGTTGCATATTAAGAAGCCGACCCTAATGCGCAAAGAGTATTCTTGGATACCTTGATTAACAAGTTATCTCAGATTATATATATAAAAATTAAAAAAGTCGATCGTTTCATACTCGATTTTTTGTTTTGATAAATGGTATTCATATTCATATTCTTTTATAAGACGTAAGGATAATATTTATTATTATAAAGATTACCATTTCTTGTAATTCTATCATTTATTTATGATACTATATATATTGGAAAAATCATTTGTTATTTTTATTTCAAGATTCTGGAAATGCAAAAGTTAAATCAAACTATTTAAGAATTCCATGGTTCATGAAGAATAGTAACTCTTTTAGAACCTGTAAAAAAAATACTATCATATAATCAAAAATAAATGTCTACGTATATAACTAATGTAAATGATAATCAACGAGCGAATAATTTCAGAGATCAAAGGTCGGAATTTCAGAAGAGAAACCATGTGAGGCCTGATACAAGATCCTCGGCAACAAGTTTCTGTATGGATCACTCTCTCTTTTCACTTTCAAATATGCAATGCATTGTTCGACCTCAGACTTGACTTGCAAGTAAAGCTCTTGAGCCTTCTCCTTATCTCGTAGCTCTTGTTCCTTGCCTGCCACAGAAAACAAAAACACAATCAAATAAGCCATTGCAAGTGCTATTTTTAATTCAGTAATCTAAAGTAGAGATCAACATCTATATTAAACATATATATACCTGCTGTTTCAATTGGTTTTCCAAAGTAATAGTAGAACCGCCCCGGGATCTTAGGTAGAAGCCCTGGGAAATAGGTTTCTTGTTTTCCCAATTCGCTATCGTCACCTTCCCTAACAATTGTGATGTGCAAAACCAAAGTTCGTATGAGTTGTACTTGGGAGATGTATATATATAGAGAGAGAGTGTGTGCAATGAAATACCTTAAGTTTCCAGCTTGTCTTGTTGCCTCTTCAATGAAATCATTTAGGAAAGGAATTTTCCTTTGATCATCCGCATCCAGGACAAGCTGAGAGCAATCCAATGTCCCAACCAAAATTTAATCACTTGAAAACGAGGTTCCGTTGGACATAAAGTAGAGAAAGCTTACGTCGCAGATGTCATCTTCTCCAACAGCACCAAAAGGAACGATTTTGGCTCCAAATTTAGATGCAACTCTCACAAACTCGGCTTGCTCCGGCCAGAACAACTTGTACGCTTCACCCTACAAAAGTCTCTCTCTGTACACGTTTAGTTTCAAGAATGCAGAAACCGTAATTTTACTAGGGCACAAAAAAAAAAAAATTAACCACCTTTCGATGCAAAGCTTCACGGACACCCCCAGGGTACAAAAGCACATGAGACTTTGACTGAAGTAGTTTGTAGATACTGAAGTTGGAGACAGGAACTCCACCCATTATCTTATATTTGTCAAACATCTGTGGATCCACTAACTCGGTGTTGTTTATGAAAATCAGCGGATGTGCCAAACCGCGCACGTGAATGTTCTTCTCTTTCAAGAACTGAGTTAAGAATGGAGCTAACTCAAACCCTAATAACATGTGATAGCCAACGTAAAGAACAGGTCCTTCTGAAGGTACTCCTCCAAGACCCCTTACAACTTTACCGTTTTCTAGAGTTGATAGCATTACAGGTGAAGTACCATCTATCAGATATCTGCACCAAGGAGAAATTATCTAAGACTTTTCTTAAGTATATAGAAAATCATCTAAGATTGATATAGTGAGGCATTTTTTGTTTTAACCTGTGGTCGTCTAATTGTTGTTTTAACTCAAATGGTGTAGGCATTATGTAATCCTTAAGGTGATCATGAGACTTGCCACGGCGGTAAAAACAAGTACCCTTGATGATAGTAACCAGATCTACACCATCCTCCTAATATTAGACGTAAAAAGAGATAGGTCGTCGTTAGTATTCAACGATTTCTTATTATGAAGAGATATATATATCACACTTACCAAAAATAGAAACTGTCCATTGTCTTTAAGCCTACGGACTAAACATTTTGGCAATGTGCGAGAGTATCTGTCAATGTCTTCCTCGTTCAGCAGCCATTGATCGCGTCCACTGCAATGTTTATAACCAAGTTATTCAATGTATACCTAAGCTCTCTGTATGGAAGTAAAAGAGATTCAGTGTTTTTATGGAGACAAATGAAACAGAGGGATTTATTAGACCTAAGAAGAATCATAGTTTCAGCTCTGACAGCGTATATGTGAGAATTGGCAGATGCAATAGCAGACTTAAGCAGCTCCAGCTTCCATAGCAGTGTGTCCTTTGGGAAGATCTTACTCAAAGTCTGCAAATATGGTTTTTTTTTTAAGTGTTTATCACGTTACTAGATTGGAACATTGACTAACGCATAGATGATGAGTTTCTAAGAAGGAATTCTTACAGGAAGATTACATGAAACTGCAAAGAGATCTCTTAGCATCCCTCCACCCACTCCACCAATTTGATGAACAGCAATTTCATTCGTCAAAGCGTCTAACATTGCAGTCAATGGATCGCCTATACATGTAGTGATGCCCCAAGAACAAAGAAAACACATGTTTTAGTAAGGTCTTCATCTACAAGTAACTGATGTTGTATAACATTTTACAGCCGTCACTGCTTTCTAAGGCATAACATAACTTGGGACATTTGAGACTGGGTTATGATTCACTTGGAGACACTTAAAAAAAAATCAATAAGAGAATAACAAAATGTGTACCTTGCTTAAAGCCAAATATTTCTTCCAATAGTGTTGGAACTCCATCTGGCAAAATATTCAACATTCCTGATAGAGGTTGCGACAGGAAGTTGTTGACATGTGTGGCTGCAACGAACAATGAACTACGATGAGCAAAATCTTACATGCATATTTCGTGACATTTACCTATAAAAATTAGAATCTCACAGACCTGGATTAGCCAAGATCAGAACAAGATCGATGTTGGGATTCCTGGCTGCAACATCTAACGCAAGACATGATCCAATAGAATCTCCAACTATATATATTGGTCTATTTGGGAACCGATTGTTCTCTGACTTTATTGTCCTCTCAATAAGCTTCACCAAGTCTGAACAAAATTAATCCGCATTAAGCTATCTTCTCGGTTAGAAAACCATTTTTGTAGACAAGAGATATATTTATTTACCTTTAGCAGGAGTACGATCCTTGACTGGAATGTGAAGGCACCATATATCAAAAATCCTACTCAATTTTTCAAAAACAACAACATCAGAAATGAAGATCCTTTGCCTATAAACATAGTTCTAGAAACAGAAGCGGGAATGTTAAAAAAAACAAATAAATGCAAACTTCAAAAGAAACGAAGAAGCAATATAAAAAAAAAAAAAAAAAAATACGCACTCGCCGAGTTTCTTGTGATGGCGAATCAGCCCAAGTCCAGTACCATCGATCCCTACAAGGTTTTTAGTTTCTCAGTTTTGTTAACTTGAAAAATCTTAACGTTTTAGAGTTCAATGGAAATCTCCTAGAAACTATTAAAGTTCAACCCAAGTTCTAAAGATCAATATTGAGAGGCCTAAACCAAGTGGTGTTGGTCCGGTTTAGTTTAAGATTCCCCATGTCGGTTAAGGCCAAGGATCAAATGACAAATCCCACCAACCATTGTATATCTTTTTGGCCACCGTAAAATGTAGATGCCATTAAATGACAAAAAAACAATATACCAGAAAAGTTGATTTCACCAACCACGGACTCTCCTTACTTACCGGTTTCGGATTTTTGCCTAGGATCTACCCCGGTTAAGGCCAAAGAAAATTCAAAAGGACGAACCAGGTAAAAAAAGGAGGAGAGGAGAGTCTGGAGCTTGAGCGGCGGACTCCAACGGAGAAAACCAACGAGGCGGACCATCATCTCCGGCGAAATCTCTCGCTTCGTCCAAAAAGTCCGACAAGCTCTTTTTCAAATCCGGACGCGCCGCCTCCACTTTCCAATACGGACTCTTCGCCACCGTTGCTCCGTCTTCATCCTTATTCTTCCGTTGGATTCGATTACCTCCAGGAGGAGTCGTCGACGATGCTACGGATTTGATCTCAGTGAGTCGATACTTACGTTTTGAATAGCAGAGATCAGCGTTGTGAACTCCTTCTCTTGAGGAAGACGAGATGCGGGAGAGACCGAAGATAGAGGAGCCAAGTAGTGTAACCGCCATTGGTGAAAAATCTCCAGAGATCGATGAGATTTTCTTTCCGTTTTCGATTTGTTAATCTTCAAATAGTCAGAAGACGACAAGACTCAACTAAACAAAGAGCCAAGAAAGTGCGCGGAAAAGAAAAGTTTTAATACTTCCGTTTTGAAAATTATTGGAATTGACACATGGGAAAAGGACAGTGTTTGTATTTTATAATTTATCGGGTAATAATTGGCGAATAATTACAAATTCTTTTGTCGGGTGAATTAATAATTCGATTGAAGAAATAAATCCAGCGATGGACACAGTGGATATGATTAATATGGAATGCAGATCTCAAATGATACTAGTAAGAATTGTCTGTAATATTTCTAGAAAAGAAGATTATATATAGTTTGAACTTAGGATATTTTACTAAAAATAAAAATAGCAAACTTTTTCGAAAGTTAGTTGACTAAATAATTATTATCAACTGTTAGTCAATGTTATTACATCGCTAGTTAGACATATAAATCCGTAAACTGATTGTTAGTTAAACCAGTTTACTAAGAGTGTCAATAATTAATTGTATAATTACAAGTTACAACACAACTAAGAAAATAATTTTTAAGACCAAAAGGTGGAACAAAATTATTCTTCAAACATCCTAATTCCATTCATCATCATTTTATTCATCTTATTTTTGAATTTTAAGTGATTAACCTAAAGGATCAACATCTTTGTCAAAAAAAAAAGTTAACATGATATGTAACTATGTAAGTAATCTCAGATGAACTTTATATTCTTACAAGTTTTAATCAGTTGATTTGTTTATCTTTATAAAACTTTATATCTATATAAAGATAAGACCTAATTTGTTTCTCTTTTTGAGAAAATCCGTAACAAAATGTCTGCAAGAATAAACTCCTGCATAATTGAGAAAGTTTAGTTTACCATCTTTCTGTATTTAAAAGTCACCTATTTCCACCATCTATGTATCTAAGAAAGTTTATAGAAAAAAAAACAAAAAAGAAAGAAATATACATTTTTGGATGTAAACCAACAACTGTGATTTTGGATTTTGTTATAAGATGCTTCTTTGGTCAAAGAGAATCAGGTATATGTTACGAACAATTAAAGTCGTGCAAGGTTAGTCTTCTAAATCTGTTGAACGTCAATTGACATATATGGTGTTTGGCAAATATGGTGTCCACAACTCTTATATGGTATCCACAACTCACAAGTATGGAGAGAAAATTAAAGATGGGCATAGGCCGATCAAGATTTGGCATGAGACTTTCATGGACCCGAACCAAAAGCCCAAGAAACATGACAAAGCAAATTCTGTTATGGGTAAATAAGTAGATGTCCATTAGGCCCATCTTATTCCCTAACACAAACTCTACATAAACCCTACTTGTAATCATATATATAGGATCATCACCTCCAATGAATGAATAAGCTCATTTCTCTTCTCCTTTTCTCACAACACGTTATCAGCACGAAAGTTCTACCTCTTAGCTTTTCTAGGTAATCACAAAAAGTTCTTATAGTTTGAATTCACAAAATTCAATGAGTAATCTCTATTACTTTGTTGATTTGTGTTTATCATACTAAAATCCATTTCTATCAATATTTAATATATTACTTATTGATAATATTTTGGATTCAGCAAACACATGCTTTATATATATTTATTTTATTTTCGTAATTATATATTCAATTGCTATATTTTTTTTCTCTGGTTAAATTATATCCCTGAAGGATTAATATTATAAAAAAAATATATATATATATCTGAAGGATCTATATATTATTTTTCCTTGAAGGAATTACATATTTCAATTATATACATCCCTGAAGGATTTGTATTTTATTTATTTTATTTATATCCTGAAGGATTTATATTTTATTTCTATCCCTGAAGGAATTTTATATTATTTATTTTATTATATCCCATGAAGGATTCATATTTATTTATATTTTATGTTTATTTTATTTATTTATTTCTATCCGAAGGATTTATATTTTATTTCTATCCTTGAAGGATTTATTTTTTTTATTTTATCCGTGAAGGATCTATATTTTATTTATATCCCTGAAGGATTTATATTTTGTTTCTATTTTTATTTATCCCAGAAGATTTTATATTGTTTATTATTATTTATTTGTTTTTCACATTTATTTATTTATTTTCGTAATATATTTAATTAATTGATGAAATGAATAATTATTGAATTGGATAATTTTGACATTTGAAATATTATTGCATTAATTTGAAATATTATTGCATTCTTGACCATATTAATTTTAAGTTGACCTGTTGACTATATGAATTCATAATTAATATAAGTGCTAAAATCACTCTAAATATATATTTAATATTATTATTTAATGATTGTTGACTGTTTTGTTAAAATGAATCTTGATCAGCTTTATTAAAATAATATTGTTTGATTTTGCATCATAACTTCGTATATTGCTATTGAGATTGCTTATTATTGCTAAATTATCATTTGATCATTGCTAATAATAATATATATTATATTATTGCATATCCTGATTTAATATTATAAATAAATGTATAATTATTCCCTTGATTTGTTTTATTTATTGGTTTGATTTGGTTTAACAAATCAATTATTATTATTATATACTAATAAGTGTATTTATCTATCATTACATGATTTTAAAATGTAATAATTTTACCATTGAGTAAAAAGAAAGGCATGATCACTAGAAGTGATCTAATATAGCAATCTAAAGAAAATGAACAATCACCTGAAGTGATATGATCTGATAGAGCATCTCAGACCATATAAACTTGAAGTTTATAAGTGAAAATATATACTAATAAAAATGTATAAGAAGAAATTATGAAAATATTGTTGTCCTGCAGACACAATAGCATAAATATATTTAAGGAATATTTTAAAAATATTGTTGTCCAGTAGACACAATAGCAAATAAATTCTTAAAATTAAATTTGTCACTTGAAGTGATAATAAAAAGGTAATGTTATTTATATTAATTATTTATTTTATTATATTATTATATTTTGTTTATATATATGTTTGATAATATTTATTTATTTTTCAATTATCCTCTATATGAATATTTTGTATTTGCATTTAAGATTACAAGACTTGAAGTCTATAAATGATTTTTATTTATCTGGAAGATAATGTAAATCAATGATGATAAAAGGCATATATTGTCCAGCTGACAAAATATTATTGAAGAAAGTTTAAGAAATTATTTTGATAAAATAATGAGTTACTAATGAAAATCTTGAATCTTGTCTAATTGGTTTTGATCCATTCCCTGAAGTGAATGTGATATGAATGATTAAAGATATGATCATAGACATGAATATGAATCTTTTATAGTTCATGTTAAAAAACTAAAGAGTTTTATTTCAAGAACTCAAATTCTCATAAGAAGTGAGAAAATAAAGATGGCAGCAAATAAAAGATACACATCTCCAGAAGAGTATATAAATTTATATTTGCTTATAGTAAATAATTTTTGATGCATTATATCTTTGAAATCCCAGAAGTGAAAAGAATCAAACACATAATAGAAATATAAAAAGTTTAAAGAATCAAAGATATAAAACATGATTCAAGTTGGATATATTATTGATTTTATACTAGGATTCCATTCGAGATTGATGAACATGAAGTGACATCATCTCGAGGGGGAGAATGGATGAATCCCTCAATCACTAGAAAGTGGAACATCTAGAAGATTATGTTCACACTAAAAATAATCCTGATGAATCATATATAATGTAACTCAATGGTGTAAAATTATTTTGAAAAAATAACATACATTATCTAATGCCTCATCATAGACAAAGATTAATATAGGAGATGTAAATGTTATGTAGTAAACTAGAAGTTTACCGAATATAACATAGTTTGGCATGAGCTGGTTAGACCATTTCGGTTCAAGAATTATGCGAAATAAAATACATCATGTAAAGATTTATTGAAGAACTTGAAGATTCTTCTTAATTATCTATAATGTGATGTTTAATCATAAGACATTATGATTATACAATTACCAACTAGCCAAAATAGATTTGGAATGTATCCAATTTCTAGAAAGAATATAAGAAACTTTTGTGGTCTAATAAACCATTATATGGACTGATCATCCAGTAAGAGAAATGTTATGGTGTTTCTTAAATATATCAACAAGTTGTTGTATGTATCAATGTTACATATCTGCAACCTGAAGTTTGCGAGATTACTTGGTAGTGCTAGTGAAATCACATCTTAAATCTTTGTTGAGAAAAACATGTTTGTAAGAATAAATGTTGAACATCCAGTAGCAAATGTTCATAATTACATATAATGCAAAAGCATTAATTCGCATAAAGCCAATGAATAACTAAAATTTCTCCCCATCGTAATTGGTTTAGGTCAGAAACCAAAGTTTTCCATCTAAAGATCTATGGATGTGCAGAATACATCCATAATGCTCCACCACAACAATATAAGATGGACCCTCGAAAGAGATAGTAAATGTATGTTGGATGTTAATCTCCTATGATAATATTTAGAGCTATCCATGAAGGATTTAAATATGGCTCAATTTGTAGACTGTCATTTTAGTGATTCAGTCTTTCCAACATCAGGGGGAGAAAATAAAACAGCTGGAGAAAGATTAAAGTTAGAATGAATTATCATTGATCCTCAGACGATAGTATGTGAAATAAAAGTCCAAAAGATAATTCATTCACAAAACTTACTGTATCAATTGCCAGATACAATTACTGACCCAAATATAGTGTTGAGTCACTTACCAGCTGTAAATGCTCTAAGAATAATTGATTTCCCAGAAGGACAATATCAAGCTGCTAGTAAGTCTAAAGAACGCATGAAGTGTGATAGACTTGTTGGTTCCAAATATTAGTTACCTCGGTAAAGTAAAATGAGCATAAATTGATAATGGTTAAACCGAGGAAACAAAGGTTTTTGAAATGATCTCAAGAAGAGACATTAAACATGACAAGAAAGAAATTCAGGTACCTGAGACAAAGAAGAGATCTCGAGAATTAATTATGTCATGTATGGAATAAAATGGAACCATAAAAGCAAATCGACGTCGTAAATAAAATATTTGCATGCATTATAGCAGTTGATGTTATGAATGAGAAAGAGGATCATGAAACAAAGTCTATTGCATTGTGTACACAAAGTAATGATTTGGCCAAATCGAAAAGAAGCAATAGACACAAAACTAAAATCTCTTAGAAAGAGAAATGTATTTGGACCAGAAGTCCTTACACCTTAAAAAGTGTAAAACAAGTGGGTTATAATAGGCATGTGGTGGATGCAACTTTCAAGTTCATTAAGTGTGGCAATGAAAGAAGAACTTGACTCATAAGACCCACTAAATAATGACATTTTTATAAAAGTCCCTGAAGGATATAATTCCTGAAGGATTAATGATATCAAAACTATGTTCCCGAAGAACTCTAATTATTTGATCAAATGAAGAGAAATACTCTCAGTGGGGTACAATCACAAAAGTGATATATATACATACATATATAATCAGTACCCACTGTATATTTATAAAAATATTATTGGATCAAAAGAGATCTTTAATCTAAACATTATCGAAATTCTGAAGAATTGTCGAAATTAGATAAAAGATATTGGAAAGACAAATTTGTCTTAAGATATCTCATATTCACAGTTTAACAAAAGAGATGTATCTCAAAAGATCCTTGTAAGATTTGCATTAAAAATGCTCACATTTGGTCTTGAAGTACCACACTTTAAATTATATTTGAGAAATGTGTTGGTCTCTTTCATAACTGAAAGATGAGAACAAAATGAGCATGAGATAACTCATATATACAAGATAGACATTTACAAGAATGTATATAAAGAGAAAGTTTGGCCAGAAGTCCAAATATAACAAGAAATGATTGTTTATAGAAATAGATGTCATATACTAGAAGTTCAAATGACTTTTATTGAGGTTATACTCATAGCAATCTCCAAAAGATGATATTATTATTGGAATGCATCTCTTGAAGAAGATGCTTCCAAGGGGAGATATAAGATGATATGTGTGGTTGTACTCTTTTTCCTTATTGTGGTTTTTATCCCATTGGGTTTTTCCATGAAAGGTTTTAATGAGGCAACAAAGAACACACAAATGAGAAACATCTAAAGGAAGTCTAAAGATGAAAGTTTAATTCCTTTCCAAAGTCTTTCATCCATTTATGAGATCAATGAAACAAAGAGAATGATCAAGATGAATCATCACTACATTCATGCACTACGAAGAATGGCGATATCAATGTCTAAATATTGTTCAAGACTGAAGATTTTGAAGATTTCTTTACAAGGAGTTTTCAACTACAACTTTCAAGGAAAGAGGTTATCTGATTGTGATGGATGTTCTCATGAGGGGGAGTAATTGCGCGATGCACTCTTTTTCCTTAGCTAAGGTTTTTCCCACTGGGTTTTCCTAGTAAAGGTTTTAACGAGGCAGCATCTTATGTATTTAGAATGTATTTTTGTATAATGGACATCCAAGGGGGAGTGTTATGGGTAAATAAGTGGATGCCCATTAGGCCCATCTTATTCCCTAACACAAACTCTACATAAACCCTACTTGTAATCATATATATAGGATCATCACCTCCAATGAATGAATAAGCTCATTTCTCTTCTCCTTTTCTCACAACAAATTCATTATTAAACCACAACTTAAATTATGGTTTCATGTTCAACGAACTATTAGACTTGAATTGGTGGGATAAGCAAGCCTTTCCAGTAATGCAACGCATAAGTAACTTGTGAAACACTGGATAGTAAGCTATCTTGATGGGTTTTCTCCTTTGAAAAAATATAGTTAATATCGTGTAAATCGAATGCTCACATATCAGATATTAGACTAATAAGAACATATAATACACTTAATCTTAGCCAAAAGGCCGAGAAAGGTATGAATTGTGGGAAGTGTGGAGATTTATTTTTATTTACTAACGTTCAGCGAGAGTAGCTTCTATCTTTTTTTTTGTTAAAGGATTTAGTAGCTGTGGGAAAACGAAATTTGGTCCATAGAAATGTAGTTACATCTGTGATATAGGCTTTGGGCCAGCACAAATTTAGCCTATATTAATAGCTTTCAGGTACCATAATAAGCCCCTTACATGACCATCCAATTTGGTTTTGTAAATTGATGTTGAAATGACCCTTTTAAGTTTTATAATGTTCCTTTTTTCAGTAAAGTTAAACATATATAAACGAGTTTATTAATTGATGTTCCCATTGGAAACAAAGTTGATGAGCATTGTTCTGCCAGAATACAGGTTCGCTTGTTAGAAGTTCTTTTCCAAGACGTGCCAGTGAACAATATTTGTGAAAAATTACTGAAACGACATGATGATGACATTCGAACCAAATCAAATCTCAACAATCGGTAATGAATAAGATATGGATGATACAGAAAAGAGAATCGAGTACTTTTGAAAACGAATGGTATTCTGACTCTTTAATTTAAAGTTATCACAATTCTTTAATTTAGCGGTCAAACCTTTTTTGTATATCAAAAAGAGGTGATATAAAGGTGAAACATATCATGAAAGTTTTCCTATTTTGGATTTTTTTTAAGGAAAATTAAAATTTCTAAATAAGAGAAAAAGTCAAGAACAAGTTGCACATACCAGAAGGCAGAAAGCATCAATTCAAAGGTCCATATATTTTACACTTTGCGCTAAGATAAGAGGACAACATGAGTGATGCATTTACAATATATCTTTTTATTTTCCTTTTTCTTTAGTTTTTCAGTTTAGGTGCAAATTAAAAAGATAATTACTATGCTCCCGGCTTAAACAACTTTAGCTAAGTAATTCCGATTCAATCCATCGAATTAAACAAAAAACTAAAGTTTCACGTACATATTTCCTTTTATCAAAAGCTACATTTATTCGACTCGACAGCGTAAAAAGTTCTATAACGTATCCAACTAAATACAATATATAATTTTGTGAGTGAAGCGAAGAAAAAAAGATTATCTTAATGACCCGAAATGGTCCATTTTTAGGAACATATTCGGGTGATAAAGAATACAAAGTTGACCATATTTAGCCCATGCAAAAAGAGGATTTCGTTTTAGAAATCAATACGCCTATATTCCTTCTCAAGGGTTATAAATAGAGAGCACATGCATGTGAGTACAACCATAATAGAGAGTAGTGAAGTGTATAATGAGGAAGAGAGGTCTAGCGTGGCGAAAAGAGTCATTTTTAGTAGCCAAGGATGACTTGCCTGCTCTTTTTCACCTCCATGATTCAATTATAAGTTAGGGTTTTGGATTATTATGCATTTGAAAAGTATAATAATTCGAAAACATGTTGAATCTTTGCGGGTTAGGCTTCAGGCAGTCTCCTTGGCTATCTTGACATGCTTTTTTCATCCATGTTATACCTAGTTCTCTTTCTATCTTTTCGAAACCACATAATTTTTATTACAAAATCACTACAACAATCTTTGGTACGTAAAGTCTTATTTGGAAAGATCATCACTTTCGCATCTGGTTTGTAAAGCATTTGCTACAAATGTATGTGGTGGGGGGTGTGTGCATTGTCTAGAAGGAGATGTTAAAGATGAATAGGAGAATCATATTTGGTAGCCAAGGATGACTTGCCTATCTCTTTGAGAAGTAAAATGGTCATGGTGTCATGATTGAAAAAGTGACTATAGGTAATATCAATTAGTGACCATTTTGCTTTCAACAAGATATTAGGCAGTCTCCTTGGCTATCCTTATATGTTCTTCTCTCTCATCTTAAACATTTGCCTTCATCCAACAAATAGAAACACGACATGAAAGATCATGGTAAGATAATGTTGATGCCTTTGCGCCTTCTCGATGTATATATATATATATATATATATATATATATATATATATATATTGCATATTATACATGTCATACATTTTAATATGTGTATCATATATGATATAGTTAAAGACACAATGCGAACGCATATAGTTTACCATTTTAATTTTGCATGTTTTTGAGTCTTTGTTTTCGAATCGAACTCTTGCGGTGGAAAAAATATATTTCCCGGAAGAGTTTTGTCTATTTCTCCAACTGGGGAAAATATATCAACTGGGCGACATAATTTACTAAGTTACAAATATAATGGATTTGTAATATAAAAAAATTATAATCAAATCAAAGGAACGTGATCTGCATGAAATGACCACATCGCACGAACAAACATGATGCGAAATGTATTTACCGTAAAAATAATTGAAAAATACCCAAAACTTTTTGTCGATGACATATTAATTATTTGCTGGCAATATATTAAACACTCAACATGATAGAATAAGCTATGGTTGCGTTAGTCGTATCGAACATATATAGAAGAAAATTAAGTGTGTTCTCTCTTTTAGTTTGACTTTGACAGAGAACTATCACCTTTTAAAACGACTTCGTTGTAAACTTTTGCAAGACTCCGAAATGTACTTATGTACATTGTCGGATTTTATCTATCTTTTGCATTCCATAACACTTTCAAATAACTCTTGAGCCTTTTTGCAAATTTAAGAGAAGACATATACACATTTGCAAAAACTGTTGTGACAACGTGATTTTTTTTGTCAACACGTGATTTGATTGATTTGGACGCATACTTCTGTCAATTTGTGTGAATGCTCAATAAAATATGTGCGTGAGCATTTGTCGATATGCGTTAACATTCACTTATATGCAAAAAATTACATTTGTCTATCGCGTACGAACATTTAATATTGATATCTATATATATATATATATCGCGTAAATATAATTCTCGAACTGTTGACACTTGGAAAAATTATAAAAAAAATATATTATAAGCGCTCGAATTCTTACAAAATACAAAACTAAGAAAAGGAATATACAAGTTTTGCCCACGTTATATAAAAGAAGTTCCCGTCTCAGGCCTGACTAGTGAGTGACCATCGGAGAAATGGAGATCGGAATGAGGAAGCTCTCTTCTGCCTTGGCTCTGACATTACTGGCATTGATCTCAGCTTCAATCGCTACCTCGGAGGTCCCTTTCATTGTTGTCCACAAGAAAGCGTCTCTCTCTACCATCAAATCAGGATCCCAACGCGTCTCCGTCACCATCGACATATACAATCAAGGATCCTCGTAAGTCTCACCTCAACCATAAACACTGTTTCTTAGATCTCATTGCGTTTGCTCATTTACCTGTTTGCATGCGATCGAGATATCACCGATCTCTCCAATTCCTGTTGACATTTTATCGCGAAACATGAACATTTTTTAGTTTAGCTTAAATGAGATTCAAGAAGACAGTCAATGTTAACAACATTTCCAATTTTGTGGACTTAATATCTTATTTAGAGAAAACAAATCGTGTTGGTGTAAATTTTTTTCAGATCATCTAAAACATTTGTGGGTCAAGGTCAATGTTATCAACATTTCGAATTTTGTGGACTTATGATCTTGGTTAGAGAGAAAAAATCGTGTTGGTGTTGTTTATGGACTTATCTTACTTGGTCTCTTTAACGTTTAAGTATTCTAAACAAACATTAGACAAATCATCTAAAACGTTTCTGGGTGTAATTCTTTTTCAGATCAGCATATGATGTAAATCTGGTAGATGAAGGCTGGAATACAAATCTCTTTGACGTTATTAGTGGCAACACTTCAAAGTCATGGGAAAAGCTTGATGTGTAAGAGTTTCTCACTAATCTTCCAACAACAAAAAAACTTTAGCATTGTTCTCTTTTTTTAGTTGAGAAAATTGTCTTTGGTTTTGTGTGTAGTGGTCAAGTTCTGTCACATTCATTTGAGTTGCAGACTAAGACAAAGGGTCTATACTACGGTTCACCAGCTGTTGTTACGTTCCGTGTCCCATCTAAGGGTGTTCTTCAGGTTTTTTTATGTGCTTCTATGGATTCTGTTGTTATGATTCTTCATAATAAAACCAAAGGGATCATGTAGTTATATGATGTTTTCTTCTGAATTTTCTGCGTTGAAACTTAGGCATATTCAACTCCACTATTGCCTCTAGATGTGCTTGCTGAGACCATCCCGGAGAAGAAGCTTGATTGGGTAATGCTTTTTTTTTCTTGGCCGTTGAAGTTACTTGATTCATTGACATTCTTCGCTAGTCCTCTATAATTACTTACCTGAGTTTCCTCTGTTTTCATGGATTTCTTCTTGACTGTGGCTAATATTCAGGCTAAGGTATGTCAAAATTTGCATCTCTTATCTCAATCATCTAATGTAGTTTTTAAACAGCAGAAATATGGTGAAACTCAGATCAAAAGTTTTTATGAATATAAAAAAAAAATAATAATAATGAATATGTGACATCAAACGTTTTGAGTCAAGACCATTTTTATGAATAGTTTAAGCATCATAGTTCTTTTTTTATGTCATCTGATGATTGTGATTTTTGATCTGTAGAGATTGGTGCGCAAAGTTGGACCTCAAATCTCAGTGATTTCGATTGTTGTGACGTTTGTGTATTTGATCGCAACTCCATCAAAGGGAAGCAAGAAGAAGCGTTGAAATTAAGTTTATTGTATTTGTGGGCATCATCACCTTTTCTTGTTAGCAAAAAAGAAAACTTTTCTGTTTTGGGGACCTTTGTAGTTGACATTTTTTCTTTCTCTGTGTATCTTTCGAATCAGAATCAGACCAACAAAAAAAAGTCAGACCACTTTAATCAATTTAGATTGTCTTGCGTTTTCTTTTGGAAATGGCTAACGTAATAATCTTCTAATCTTATCCAACCTTACAGACTTCTAATAATTTAATCATTCATGTTTTTCCATTCTTGTTTCTTTTCTTTTCTTCTGACCTTTTTGATCTCATTTCCATGTGTTTCATTTAGTTTTGAGGGTTGGAAGAAAGAAAAGAACTCTGACTTGAGACATTATTATTAGAAAAACAAAGTTAGATTAGATATATTTTAAGTGAAATTTTTCTTTCATATAGGTTTATTTTGATATGATTTGGTATACCAAAAAAAATGGTACCAAGAATGAAAAGTTAAATTCACTTGCGCATAAGAATGATTTTCAGTTTAAATTCGACTAGACTACTACTCAATCCTAATTCCTAGGCAAGTAGCAAAAGTCAGTTAAGATTTAAGAACAAAATTACAATTACTAATGGGCTAAACTCGAATGACTGGTTTGTATAAGCAGAAATCATTTGTTTCTAGGCGCAATTTATCCTTTGTATAAGTAGTTTTAGGATGAAGAAAAAATAGTAAGAATCTCTAAAAACTCAAGAACTAAAGAAATAGAATAAGCAAAATGGACTTTTATATTGATCAAAGATTGAAGATTATAAGTATTTATGAGAATACAAGAGTTCGAAGAGCATACAATGAGAATTAGGTTAAAAGTGTGTAAAATGAATCAAATATGTTCTTTTCCATTTGATGCTCCTTTTCTTATATAGCCGGCTCGTGATCCACTTTCCTCTGTGATCTTTGGGATTTTCTGTTGCACGTGCTCTGGATTTTATGTGGTTACGTTGAGCTCTTTTGACCGAGTTACATTCTCCAGCTGTCACTTGTCTTCAGCTCGACAACAAATTGAGATAGGCTTATCGACTTATAAGAAGATGGACCGGTCCAAAAGAAATCTTATAGGACGGAAACAAGCCGAATTTAGGTGATAAATTAGGGCCCGACAATAAATGTGAACAATTACGCATGAGCCACGCGTCCGAATATAGTTGGCTAAACGTCGCCAAATCTTCTCCCACCAAACCCATAGTACGTATCATTTCGTCAATCCCAATTCTCAGTCCGTCTTTCAGAAGACGAAACAAAAAAATGAGCTACGAGAAAGTCCAGCCGGAATCATATCCTCCACCAGGTTCGTAAAATTTTAATCCACTTCTACTTCTCTGATTCAGCTCCGACTTGATTCGTTAACACGAAACTTGTGATCTGTTCTAAACCTCGTTTTCGTGGTGATCAAATCGGTTAGGTTACCAATCTCAGTATCCGCCGCCGGGATATCCATCAGGACCACCACCTCCGGGATATTCTCCGTCGCACCAGCTCCACGAGGGATATCCTCAACATCAGCTCCACGGGTATCCGTTGTATCCACCACCACAGCCGTCAAAGCGTCCTTTTTACGTAGGCGGCTATCAGGAGTACTTCTCCGGAGGCTATCCTCCTCCTCCTCCTCCTCCTCCTCCTCCTCCTCCTTCTCCGGAGTACAACCAATGCCATCACGATCATCACTACTACCATGATGACAACTCTGGCTGCACCTCTTTCCTCCGTGGCTGGTACGTCCCTCGATTCTCCTTCTTTCCGAATTCCGATCATTATGGTTTTCTTAATTAGATCACACTGTTTCGTTACATACGTAGTGATAAAATGTGTTGTAGATCTTGAAAATGATGTTAAGTGAAACAAGTCCATTTAGTTCTTATTGCGCTTTGACTGATTCTGACTTGACTTAAATCACGTAAAAACAATTATCTCCTGTTGAGTTGCTGTCACATCTTCTTTTTGTACATTAACTCAAACACAATCCTTTTTGTTGTTCTGTCTTTGAGCTTCTTCACTTGTTATGTACACTACCTTCTTATATCTCCTTTTTGATTCGATACAATGAAACAATTATAAACGAATTCCTTTTCCTTTTGTTTTTGCGTGTTTCAATGAATCAGGCTCGCTGCTCTCTGTTGCTGCTGTGTGTTAGAGGAATGCTGCTTCTAAGTTTGGAGTGTTGCGATCCTCTCGTTTACAAAACAGTTTTACTCAAAAGACTTATGATGCAATGTCTGTGTCTCTCTTTTTCTTTCTCAGGCTATTAATGTGTAATTTATAGCTGATGTGTTGTTGTTGTATGCTTTGTTTGAAAACAAGAGGTTTGAGTATTGTTAACAACTTTTATCTATATCATTGTGCTACATCTCTACTCATATAAACCAAGAAGTCTGAAAAACACAAGTGATTGCTCAATACAAAACTATGGTGGTGATTACCGGTTTGATGAGAACGGAATAATAAACTAGCAGAAATTCTTAAGTTGAACAAAATTTATATTGAATAATACATGGAAACCATTTTGTTAAAAACCTGAAAATCTGATGACAAAGACAAGCAGGAAATTTTGCTCAGAATCATAACTATGATTACTACCTGATTCTATTTACATTATGTACAATTTTTTATTTATTTTGTATTATATCTGGCAAGGTAAAAGCTAATTAAATATCATATAACAAGCTTATAAAAAACAAGCCGTAGCACTTGTAATAACTAAAGAAAACAATAAATCACCATAGGAAAGTCAAAAAAATACAGAAATGCTTTCACAGAAGAATATCAGCTCTCGTCTTAAAGAACAAAGAAAAAAAAAACACAAAAGTACACCTCCTAACGACCAATCAGAATCTCAGAAAGACCAGAACCATTGAACTAGAGAATCCAGACAAATGGCGGCGCATCAGTCCTAGTCCCAACTACAGTCCGGTACAGATACAACTTATCCACCTCTTGTCTCCCTTCGTGTCCGTTCTCCTCCATCCGGTTATTATTGTTCTCGTTAATGATCTCAACATTGAGCCACGGCGCTATCTGAGCGATCCTTTTGCATCCGCCGAGTGTGACCTCGCATGACGACATCCAAAGGGATCGCATTGTCTCGTACTTGTTCACATCAGCAAGAAGCGCCGTGTCCCCAAACGGACTATCCCTAATCTCCAGCTTCCTCATCTTCTTGCAACCATCCAACACATAGAGCATGCCTTTATCCGTATCCCCAGCAAAAGCTATCGAGAGCATCTCCAGCTCATGCGCGTACTTCCCAATGTAGTGAAAGACTTGATCCGTGAGAAGACCGGAGAGCGAGAGCCGTCTCAGGCTCTTGCAGGCTCGCACGATCGCTCCAAAGCCTTCGTCTAGAGGTCCGGACGTGACGTGGTCCGGTTTGTTCGGCTCGAGGATGCAGAGCCTAAACCGGATGAAGTTCGGACAGTTCTTGGCGACGGTTATGAGCGCTGCGTTAGTCATCTGCTGGCAGAAGTAGAGAATCGAATGAAGCTTAGTGCAACCAGCAGAGATTGCGACTAGACCGTCTTCGGTCACAGCTGTGTTGCCTCCACCGACTAAATCAGACGGAAAAACCCTAAGCTCTTGCAACTCTTTACACGTAGAAGCTACCACTGCAAGCCCTTTGTCACCTATACTATCCAATATCTGCAAGAAAAATAAGATTACAAAAATAAATAATTCATTTCTTGTTTTTGTTTCAAGAAACCAAGAGCTGCTTTGCTTACTTACCCATAAGCGTTGGAGTTTGTTGCAATGCTGGATAAGCTTAATGAGATGGCTGCTATGGATCTCAGCTGCGTAGCTAAGATTCAATGAGGTCAGGTTATGACAAATCGGGTGAAACGCAGAGAGACAGTGAGGAGCGGCTTCAAGAAACCCGGACAAACTCCGCAACGAGGTGCATTTCTTTATGGCGGCCTCGAGTTTCAGGTACGGCTCTGACTCTCGGTCGTTCTCGTACGACCCTACTCCTAAGTCAACTATCTGCGGCGCGCACGCCATTAACCTCGCGAGCGCGTCGAGCGGCACCGCACGGTTTAGCTTCAGACTCTTTAGGTTCGGTGACCTAGCCACGAGCCTCTCTAGTGCCACGAGATTGGTTTCTCCTTCGAGACATGCGAAGTTCAGCGTGACGAGACTCGTGCACGTGTCTGGGAAACAGCTCAGCCATTGACCTCTGTGGTCGTCGATTTCGTTTTCTTGCAAGTCAAGATCCCGAATATGCCTACAGAGAGAAGTCAAAACTTGTCAAAAACAGAACCTATACAAATAAATGTTACCATAATCTTCAATTTTAAAACATAAAATGAATACTAATGTTCAACCAAAAGCTTGAAGCAAAATGTGCAATGATCTCTCAACAAGTTATTTGACATTTTATAAAAAAAAAAACCATAATGAAACAAAGCATCTATAGTCAAAGCTAATCTTACAAAGAACGTACAGTCTTAATTTTTACTTTCTACCGCCAAATTTAAAACGACCATTAAGAGGAAAAATCATTTTTTTTTACCTGCAATTGGCGGCAATGGAGGCAAGACCATCAGTAGTAAAGCCTTCGCAGCTAACAAGAACCAAAGACTTGAAATTCGGAAACGAACGTGAAAGCAACTCCAAGCTCTCATCGGTAACAACCATCCGCTTCAACCGCAGCTCCTCTAGCCCCACGCGGCTCCTAGCTAAGGCTTCGATCCAGGGCTGCACGAAGCCTCCCCATTCGTGAGGAACCAAGTTGAAATCGGCGAAATGAGGCTTCCCTTTCAGTGTCAAGGACTTGAGACATGGAAACCTCCGGAGTAATCTCTCCGGGTTTATCGCGTAGCAGTTTCCGATGAACACTCTCTGCCTGCTGTATCTCTCGATCTTGTACCACGATTTGCAGACCAGAGATATCGCGTTTCTGTCTTTGTGTGATGTTACGAAGTCGAATACGTGCTCTGTGACTTCGTCTGGGAAATAGTTCATCTCTTCAACTTCTTGCCAAGAACTTGAATTCGAATCTCCGGGAAAGTAGTGGATTTGACTTTGACGAAATCCGATTAGGAGATTTGAGAGCACCAGATAGTGGACTCGAGCAAATTCACTTGACTTTGACTAGGAGCTTCGAGAGCTCGAAAACAAATTGAATTCACCAGATCCAGATCCACCGGAAAAAAAAAAACAAAATCTAGATCTATAGAGGACAGATTGAAGAACTAGAAACTACTTCGAGAATCAATAGAAGAAAATTTTTAAAAAAATTGAACAAAAATGCTAATGAGATAAACGAGTGAGAGATTCTGTTATCTGAGAGATGTCGAAATTAAAAACGGTGATGATTACAGAGAAGAAGAGAACGTTGACAATGATCGAGAATCATAATAGATCTGTAGAATCTCTCTCTCTCAAAAAAAAAACCATAAATAGAAACTTGCTTCGTCGTCCCCCTGAAACAAAAGAGCTCACAAGAAAGAAAAAATAATAAAAAGAAAATCAAAATCTAATGATGATAAGATGATCAGAAGATTGATGAGAGAGATCACGCAAGCAAAGCAAAGCAAAAGCCCAGGGAAAAAAAAGTCTCTCTCTCTTCTTCTCCGCTTCTCTCCTCTTCTCTCTCTCTCGGGTGACTTGGTAATGGAAAATAAGTCTTAACCAACGAAGAAGCACATCACAGGGCCCCTACCTGGCTGACCGAAACAAACCGTGGTTAGGTTAAGTTAAAACCGTGGTTATGGAATGATCCGACGGTGAGAAATAGTTCAAAGGAAAAGGTAGCGAAAGGATCTTGACCGTTGATGGGAAATGGCATGCATGTGTCCTAATCACTGGTTACGAGGCCATTCGCCAAAGAGAAAAAAAGAAAGGGTGATGTCGTAGTGTCAGACTTAAGGAACAGTAACAAAATGCCCTCGGCTTTGAGGTTTATTTACGGAGACATGCCATATTAGGTTTATTTGAGGTCTATACTCGCAGGGAGACCACGAAAAGAGGTGTCATTTACTCATTATAAGCTGTGTTACTAAGGTTGTAGATTAATAATGATCAATTATTCAACTAATACTCCATTCGTTTCAAATTAGTTGTCGTTTTGGAAAAATGTATCTATAATTATTTGGATGTATCTACAATGCAAAACACGTCGAGATACGTCCTTTGCAGATACATTTTGCCAAAACGACAACTAATTTGAAACGGAGGAAATATGTGATTAAAGGTTGATCTAGTGATTATTTTTTGGGTTTATGTACTAAAATAATTATATGTTAAATCATCCATTTTGCAAAACAAAACATGGAAGACTTGTATAGCAATGTTTTTGGTAACTAATATGTTATTTTATTCGTTGATAGGTCAATACAGTTTGAGTTTTATCAAATTTTAATTGATTTTGGGGATATGAAGAAGGAGAAAGAATGGAAAAGCAAGGCTGGCTGAGTTTTGTCTGTTACGAGGACATACACCATCCGTGGAGATACGTAGTCAGTAGGTGATGACATTAGCAAATTTAGTATTAAATTTCTTCTTTTTTTTTCTTTACCAAATAAATCCAAATGCCACTCAAACAGAACAATATATATATATATATATTTAATTTTAAGCTTTGAAATGGTGGCAGCAAATTGGAAGAAGTATGTTTGATGTGAAAAATACAGTGTACCTATGGCTGAAAGTTGAAACGGTCGGTTTGAATATTAAATGGTACACGAGAAAATTGTGAAGGACTTTTACAAATTTTCAGTTAAATGTAATGATTCAAAAAGCAACAAAAACATTTTTTCAAGGGATAAAGTAATTACTATTTATACATACAAATTAATCGTAATTCACACCAACAAGGACAAAAGGCACACAAGGAAAACAATAGAAACATCTTCAAATTTTTGGAACTATTGACCATATTTTCTCAATGGTGACAAAAGAAGATGAGTAAATTTAGACACACTGAACATATCAACCACATCCTTCGCCAATAAAATTTTAAAGTGAAACTATAAAATTAAAGAAGAAATACATAGACAAGGGAAAAAAATGAAAAAAGATGGCTTCATAATCGAACTCAATTATAGACCCACTTGCATATAATTACAAAAGAGAGCACACAAAACAAAAGTATTATTATTGGTTGAAAGAGAAGAGTCACTTCCTTGCCTCTAATCACCAAACTTTTGTTTAGTTATATTTAGAGAGAAAATTTGACAAATGAGCTACTAATTAGCTAACAATAAAAATTATTAGAATGAACTAGACATTGGTCTGTAATATACTAATATACATCGATCACATGGAATAAATAACCTTGTATATCTTAGGAAACATTATTTAGTGTTTTCTTTTGGTAACCAACAACTTTCACAACAATTCAAACGTGATCAGCCGTGTATGAAAACAGAACCTCTTTTGAAAGGAGTCTTCTAACACATTTCGTTTAAAAAAGTAGATTTTGCATGTTTTTGATGTATAATAGTATATTCATCTTATAAATGACTTGCATTGTTTGCTAGATGGATCTTTGCACTCTTACCCTTGTATTCACATCTAGTATAAATAAATAAAAGCTAAGTAGCTAACCCACTGAATATCAAGTATACATGTTCTTAATTATAAACATCACGATCCTATTTGCTCAAAAAGGTGATTGGTTGCTCAATATAAATATTTATTAAAAAAAAAAACATTACTATGAAAACTAAAAACGTCGGGTGAAATTAGTACATGTCTGATTTTGTCAAGACATGTTTTTATCTAAACTTTTCTTCAGGAATGCTAGTGTAAGAATGTATGGAAATAAAAGGGAAGAGTGGTGGATGTGCATTGTTGTTTCTGTGGAATGGATAGGTCCACTCTTCTCTTGCATCTCATCATATTCTAAAAATGGTTGCCATGTGAAGACCACCACTTCATTTCTCTCTATTCCCTTTATCATAATCCTATGTCAAATTTTTCATTATTACCCCAAATTAACCATAATTGCAGTTTTAAGAAATCATTAGCTAGCCGTTTCTTTCTATTGGCTGAAAGAGCAATCTAGCAATCGACTTATACTTTATAAATAAAAACACATTTTGATAGACCGAATATACTAGAAGGTTAGAATCAAAGAGGGGATATATTGAATTTCAATATCGAAACATACATTTCAGAGTCGTGGAATCAGTATTAAAACACAAAAATCAATATTTGGAATCCAATAGCGTAAACATGTTTTACAAATACTTGATTTAATAAAATGACTTATAAATGATATTCATTTTTTCCTCATTGGTCTTGAGGAATGACAGAGGGATAGATGGCGATTTCGTTAGACTTTTTTACTAATAAGAACTTGGTATTATATTATTTACCAATCAACACCAGTATATTCATATAGTGTCGTAGCCTTTGCATTCCATGAACCGATCAACAAAATGACTCTTCAAACTCCATATTAGAGTAACATGTGTTCTTACCTCTCTTTTCTCGAGCGATGATTTTGCTAGTTCAAGTGAAAGCAAAGTCTGAGCCCAAGAAGGCCCAAAGCATGCCTCATCATCTCGCATGTCCTAATTATCTATATATAACCGGTGGTCCTAGATTAAAAAAATGCCTCTTTGGTACACAAATGATAAAACACTCACTTTGCAAATACATAATCTATACAAACATGACATGTACGTATTTCATATTGGAAACGTAAGATATGTCTCTTTTGATTTGTCCCTTCCAGGTGGTCCTCTCTACCCTTTTTGAAATTGCACTGCCTTTGAAACATGCTTTTTTCCATGGTTTAAGAGGATATATGACACACGGCTATTGGAGATTTCGCTGTTACTTGTTTGTTAGAGATTGTGTGTATTTACACTTTTACAGTTTAGATTTTTAGAAGAAAAATATTAGTTTATCTATCAAATATTAAATTATAAAACATAAATACAAACACGAAAGCAAATGGGAAAAATAAACAGTTGGTGTTTTTGATGTCATTCGGCTTATTCAAAACTTATAAAACCGTAACAAATTTTGATATCCGGAAAAGGTTACAAAACACTTGGAAAAAACTGAAAAAAGGACTAATAACAAGTGATTACATGACGGAAAACTCCTTTGTTCGATGGTGGCTCCTCCATTTCCATGAAACCAACCATTAATACGCGCGAAAATGTCAAGAGATTAATTATTAGACATTCAAACTCCAATTCTTATACTCCTTTTGCAAGAAATGGTTTGTTGAACTGATAGAACCAATTTTGAACGAGTTTTCCTTCTTTACCAATATAAATTTATCTTCGAATGATCAGTGAACTAAATAAACTCAATAACTGTTTAATTTGCATATAAAAGGTTAGCATAACTAGACTAATTGAGACGTGATTAATGTTATGAAAGCGAACTCGTCATATTTGTGAGTTTTGTGTTCCTTAATTGGTTGTCCCATCATAAAGTGGTTATAGCTTATAAGATTTTCTTAATCAAGTGTATTACTGTTTATTTGTATGTGGTAATTCTGTTTATTGTGTTTGTTTCTTAGTCCTTGTTTAATTATTCTTGTGTTTATCTTTTAACCGTTTTTTTAACTATTGTCATCTAACGCTTAGTCTAAATTAAATAAAATCGGATAAAATTTTCTTTTTAAAATAGTTAGAATCTCATATGTGGCGAGCATTCCGTAATTTCTTATAGAACTCGAGTCCGTTTATGCTTTAAAGGCATTAAATCGTGCACTTACAAATACCGTGTCCAGTTTAAAACCCAGCATTATCACTCATCAAACTGGAACTAAAATTTCTTACAACCAAGACTCAAATCATGGACATGTTCTCCGTCCTCCATATCTAAGGTATAAATTTTTGGATTTGGTTTTCCTACTAAAGTTAATTTGAAAATTTTCTATAAATGACCGGAGTTGACATAATCAAAATTTACAATCGGTGGTTGCTTTCTGTTCAAATCACTAACACTGAGCATTTTTTTTGTTTGGAGAAGTCATTGCAAAAAAATAGCGGAAAAAAAAACAAATTGTAGATAAGAGATCATACAAAAAGGGAGATCAAGCTTGGATTAAAGACAGTAAAACAATACGAGATATCACAAAACCAAAAGCATGTCTCCTCCAACCCTTCTCCTTCTGAAGTGCAAATCGACTCTGGTAAGAAAATGAATCGCAAAAACCACCGCAAAATAAAGAAATATTCATTTTTACTGGATCTTGAATATATAGTAGATCCTTAATTATTAGCATGCGTAATTATTAATTTCAGGTTAACTAAAAAGTTATTGTTCTAAATATATAATTTTCTTGGGCCGTTTTTTTCTTCCAAAATCCGTGAAGCAATGCTTTTCCTGAATAAGGCAAGTCATCGGCTCATTGTAGCATTTTGGCAATTTGATGATCTGTGTGTAAATGACCCAAAGAACAAATCACTTAACTAACCAATATATATACTCTTTCCATTTATTTGATGATTTTGGATTAACCATTTTTTTTCATTATTTCTCGTTAGTTATACTTTCATATGTATAACTAATATACATACCTTTTGAGCCTTTTTTTTTTTTTTTTTTTGTTCAAATCCTTTTGAGCCTTTAGGTTTCTATCTCTTGGTATAGATTTAGTGCAAAGCTTGAGCCCATCTTAAAGACCAGTGAGCTTGTGTTTGTCTTTTCATTCCATACTCCTTCCTACTCTTTAGTTACAAAAATTGTTGCAAGTACATAATAATTAAATTGTATTTTCCAAATTATACTATGAAAACACAGACAGACATATAATTAACACCTATTAAATATACTGCTCATTAGATTACAATAGTTTTTTTTTTTAGATTACAATAGTTTAAATACAAATTCAACAAGTTAAATAAAAATGCCGTTTGTTAAACTGTTTTTGAAATTCTAAAATGGTATTTAAAAATGGTTAGCTCTAAATTTATTATTTTTATAAGAAAAAAAAACAAAAAAAGTACTTCTGTTAGATAAGGGCACTTTTCATGAACCATGAACCACGTTATAGTTGCAACCATAACAACCGTTATATACAACATATGTTTAAAAGGAATCCATTTTTTGAACAAAAAAACAAAAGAACTAAGGATTCTTTTCATATGTAACATATGTTGTATATAACGGTTGTTTAATGTTGCAACTCTAACGTGGTTCATGGTTCATGAATGGAAACTCGTAAAAAGCAATGTACCGACAATTAATGGGAAGAATCCATTTAATTGTTAAGTGTCAAAATGCGTAAAGGAAGGAGAGGAAGGATTCTGTCATTAAATTAAGAGAGAGGGACGTGCATGGTTGCCACTTGTCCATGCATCTTCTTCTCATTGGAACACAAAAGACGTATTCAACTTTACGTACGAACTTCTTTCCCTCCCCCACCAACTACCATCCCCAAAAATATCCGTATATGGCCCGTAAAAACACCTCTTAATTGGAGTATAGTATATACATAGACTTTAATTAAAATTCCGCAAGAATGAACCAGTTTAAAGCTCTACTCGAAGTCCAACATTGCTATTAAAATCAAAGTCAAGTAGTCAAGCATAATGTGGTTTTCTCTTCCAAAGCAAATATAGTCTCTAGTTACCTATATACACTGAGCACTCACAAATAAGTATTTTTTTTTGTTTTTTCCCTGAAATAGATAGTATACACATACAAGAAAAATACGTATATACAAATCACATGTTGACCACTAAGTAGTTAGAGATTAAACACAATATTGACTTAAACTAGAGTTTAATGTTCAAGAGAGAGAGAGAAGAAAAAATAAGAAAAGGAGAGATAACGGAAGGAAGAAGACGCCATTGAATTCTGGAAAAAAGGGAGCAACAGAACTTTTGAAACACCTGTTCATCATTCACCCTCCACTCGTCTCCTTCTTCTTGGTTCCTCCTTTTAACTTAACCTCTGTTTAAACTATGGTTGAGTTTTTATAGAATCAACATTCATTAATTGGCGTTAGATCTCGCTCCTGAACGTTGCTATCATCATAATCTTTTTTCTCATTCCGTTTAGGTATTGGAAACCTCCTTTTAAATCCCCTTCTCTCCAAAACCCTAGAACATGAATGTGGGTTATACAAATGTCACCCCTTACCATAAATAGTAAAACAAAATAAAATAAAAATCAAAATTTTTGTTTTAACCCAAATCTCTGATTGCCCAGCTCCATTTTAAGCCACTGTTTTCGATCTGCACAACCCACAAACACACACAGTCTCTCTCTTCTCTCTTCTCTCTTTCTCTCTCTCTTTCTCTATCACTGAAACCCAAAGCCATCCACCATTTGTTCTTTTTTCCTTCACACACTGTTTCCAAACTTCCTTTTTACTAGGCAGTGTTTATTAACCAATTGAGAATCAAAATGATGGATGAAGCTGCTGCTGGTCATGATGTGGAAACCAAGGCCTCTACTTTAATGGCAAGTGTTGATCATCTTCCCCGGTTTGGATCCGGGTCTGGTCATGGTCATGATCATGGGTTATCGGCGTCTGTGCCTCTTCTGGGTGTTAACTGGAAGAAGAGAAGGATGCCCAGACAGAGACGATCGTCTTCTTCCTTTAACCTTCTCTCTTTTCCTCATATGCCTCCTTCTTCTTCCCACGTGCCAGCTCCTCTTCCCGCACGTGTATGCCCCTCCATTTTTTAAGTCTTTTTTATTCCCTCTCCTAATAATATTTATTCATTTTAAAAACAAAATTGATCGATTCTCCGAAGATCCTTTTTTTTTTCTAAGACCTGTATGGATCCAAATAAAAAGACAGATTTTACATGTGTACATATATCTATTTTTGTATATATCCATTTGATCGATTTATCTATTTTTATGAAAAGATTCAATGTATGTTGTTATCATGATGACAGAAAATAGACACAAGAAGGCTAAGATTCCTCTTCCAAAAGGAATTGAAGAACAGTGACGTCAGCTCTCTCCGCCGGATGATACTCCCCAAGGTATCTCTAATTATGATTCATGATGAATATTAATGATGATGGTGATGGTTAATGGTTGGTGGTTGGTACAGAAATCAGCGGAGGCTCACTTGCCGGTGCTGGAATCCAAGGAAGGGATACCTATGACAATGGAAGATATGGATGGTCTTCACGTTTGGACCTTCAAGTACAGGTATACTTATATTTACGCCTAGTCTATTCATATTTTTGGTCGATCGATAATGTTTTTAGTGTTTCACTTATCCATGTCGATCTCAATTTTGTGATATATGCAAATTTCCATAGTCTCTAAATACTCATAAGAGCTTTCAATTCGCATTTGTGATGATATATGTTAAATCATTTCATTGGACATGTACAAATAACTAGATCTTGAGTCTATTTTTGTTTTTAAAATTTTGGATCTTGAGTCTTGGTCTAACGTTTTGATCTTTAGGTACTGGCCTAACAACAATAGCAGAATGTACGTGCTAGAAAACACAGGTAAAAACTTCACTTGTAACTCGGAATTATAGCCATAAAGCCTCTGGAAAATCGAATAAATCATTGTTTAAATATACTCGATTCGAGCTGGATTTTATCTCCAGGCGACTTTGTGAATGCTCATGGTTTGCAGCAAGGTGACTTCATCATGATCTACCAAGATATCTACTCTAACAATTACGTAAGTCACACGCTACTAAAAAGGAAATCCAAAATCTTAACTAAAACATGTGTCATATACTTTTTGTTATAAAAAAAACATGTCATATAAAACTCAAGTTTATTTATTTTGGTTTAACTCAGGTGATACAAGCAAGAAAAGCATCTGAAGAAGACATAACCAACGTCGAAGAAGACGACGACGTCTACACAGACTTAACAAGGATTGAAAACACTGTGGTTAACGATCTTGTCCTCCGAGATTACAGTTATCATTACAACAATGGAAAATGTTCTCAGTATTATCCCGTCATCGATGACGTCACCCCGACCACAACCACCGCCACGACGTCTTTCGTCTACGACACGACGGCTCTAACCTCCAACGACACTCCTCTCGATTTTTTGGGTGGACTCTCGACGTCGACTAATAATTATTATAACTCCAAGTTTGGATCATTCGACGTCGATAATATCTCTCTCGATGACTTCTACTAGATCGGATCGATCCATGGGCTCATGACGATTCTTGATGGTGATCAGCTTTTTATTTTATTTTATTTCTTATATAAATATTATGTTAAATGCATTTTGCATATCCTAAAGTGTTTGATGTTACAGTTTATAATGAAGATGATAGCTATATGGGAGTGTCATGGTTTGCACTTTGCACACACAAAAAAAGAAAAAAATGGGAGTCATGGAGGTGTTTTGTGTTTTATGAATAATAATGTAAATTTGTGTATCGGGGAAATAAACACAAAACACACTTTTTTCTTTCTTTCTTTATTATTTTTATCAGGGAAATTTGTTGTTTCTCTTGTAATGTTTACCGTTATATAACAACTTTTATTACAAATTAAATTTAATCTGACATCAAAAGAACAATTCATGATAACTAACACCTTTTATTACTAAAAGAAAACATCTAACAACTCTGTGTAGAGATACCAATTTATGTGTAACTATATCAAAATTTGATAAACATTATAATTTGGATGAAAATCGCGATGAATAGTCAGTCATTTTGAAAAAATGTTTACCGTTACCATGAACTGGTCTTTTGAAGTCAGATTAAATATAATTATTATGAATTCATTGTTTGACTATCAATGAATAAACTAACCACTAACGAATGATTTTTATCTCTAGATGGGAACACTTTTATACTAACTAGGGATTAAAGCTCCGCGCAAACTCAGGGTTGTTTGCGATATTTTAAATTATGATGACTTTATATTAATATCTATGTTTTAGTTATATTCTAACTAATCCAATCACACACTAAAGATATCAATTTATTTTTTGTTTTATTTTGTTAAGATGTTAACTTTACACTTCATGTTGAGCTTTCTATTTCTAACATTTAGCATATTTTAAAACTTAAATATTATGTTGATTCATTTTTATTAGACTATAAATATGTATTTGACTCAACATTAAAATTTGTAAACATAGTATAAAATCGTACTTTTACTCCAAATATGATCTAAAATAATATGTGTTAATTTGTACATGCATATATGCTTTACGCGTATGAGCACTGTTAATTATTTTCTATCATATTAGTTTTGTAAATATAAATTGTATTTTTGAACGAAACATGTTACAATTTTTAAAAGAAATCATACTTTTTGTTGCAGTGAAATTTACATGTAATAACTTGACTTCTACTTGTTTTAAAAACAAACTCTTACTTTAATATCTCATTAGCTTTCTGCTATATTAATTAAATTATATTCTACATTTTTTAACTTGTAAACACATTAGAATTTTTTTTTTCATTAGGATGAATCATTTGAATAAAAAGCTAAATATATACTATTTCAAGTTAAATATTTCTATGCTTTATCTCCAATTTATATTACAACTTTCTTTTACCTTTTATCATTAAATTATTATATACTTTATAGATTAGTTATTTTTTGTATATTTTTCTTAATTTTATTTATGTTTGAAATGGAAATATAAGTAAAGGAATATGATATATTAATAAGTATATTAAATACAATTTGAAGTCTTTTTGCTGATGTGGATAGTCTAAATGGAGAGATAACTCCCTGATAACAAATTCCGCCTCTGAGACGCCATTGTTCTTGAAGGAGCACGCAGAGAATCTTCCTCCGGTTTGTCCTGAGGTTGGAGGGAAGAGGCTTTTCAATGCATCAGACCAAAGCAAACGCGGGATTGTTTGCGATAATTTTTCTGTTTGATTTTATTTATATTTATTGATTTGAAATTTTGAATTATGATGGTTATATGTTAACTTCCATGTTTTGGTTATATTTTGAGTTAACCCAACAATTAACACTAACAATATGATCAATTTTTTTTATTAAGATATTAACACCTTACTTCATCTCGAGTTTTCTATTTCTAAAATTTAATATGCATTTGACTCAACGTTAAAATTTGTAAACATGGTGTAGAATCGCAATTGCACTCAAAATATGATGAAAAACAAAAACATGTATAACTTCTTACATATATGCTTTGTTGTGGTAGCATATGACAATTGATTATTTTCTATTATGTTAGTTTTGTAAATATAAATTGTATTTTTGAAACAAACATGTCACCATTCTTAAAATTTTCATACTTTTCGTTGCAATGAAATTTAAATAATAACTCGACTTCTATTTTTTAATAAAACAAACTCTAACTCTAATTTTTTATTAGCTTTTTACTATGTTAAATAATTTATATGTACCTTTTTTACTTGTAAGCACATTATAACATTTTTAAATAGGATAAATCCTTTGAGTTAAAACCTAACTATATACTATTTCAAGTTAAATATTTCTTTATTTCATCTCCATTTTATATTACAACTTTCTTTTAACTTTTAACATCAAGATATCACATACTTTATATTAATCAATTAAATTGTTTGTGTATTTTTCTTAGTTTTGTTTATGTGTAAAATAGGAATATATATATAAATACACATATATTAAATATCTTAAATACAATTAATGATTTTTTTGCTGATGTGGATAGCCTAGGAGGAGAGAGCAACTCTCCTATTATATATAAGATATAATGTATGAACAGAAATGCAGAAGAACAAATGGACAACAGTTCCAAATGACATATGAACTAAAAAAATATTTAGTAAAATTAACCTTTTTGTTATTGAATCATCTAAATCTACAAAATCTCTAAGTACTGTTTTATCCTGTCAAAAACATTAAAATTTGCTCTGTGAAGCTAATTCGACCTAACTAGTCACGAGGTCAACGAGTTATTCGTTAACATTTGTTTATTAGACTCAACAAACTGAGGGTAAGCTAAAAAACAGATTCAGGGTTATTCTGTAAATTTGAGCAAAGTTTAAGGTTTGTATACGAGAAACTCAAAAGTAATATCTGGCTGTATTACCCCGGTCGAATGTTATTGCATATACCGGTTTGGTTTTCTAGTTGAATATTTCGCGCAATTATATAAACGGAACCTGTTATCATTTTGATACTTGAAGCACACAAATCGTCCTCAGGGAAGGAGAGAGCGAGGCGTTGATTTAGAAACCAGAATCAATGGCTTCATCGTCGTGAAAGACTCTGCTTCTTCTTCCTCGTGGACATGTTTGCAGGAGCATATCTCAAAGCATTCCTCTGGTACTACAGCTTAATAGCTTATCGTCGACGTGGAACCTCAGGTTGTCTACTCGCCCTTGGTGATGATATCTGAAGCTAATTCACATGCTTCAAGTTTTGGATTATATATCAATGTTTGCAGAAGATCAGAAAGCAGATAAATTTTTAGGACAAGATCTTGTGAAAAAGGGTTCCAAGTGAGTTACTATATTTTTCTCTAGAGTGTGGATTCAAAAGCTTATTTGTAAGTTTGTCTGTTTTTGGTCATATCTTCGCTTTGGTTTTTTTTATTATTTTGTTCGTCAGCTACTTGTGTGGCGTATTCGGGTTTAACTTAAAATTTTCCAATAATGTGCGACATTGCCAGCAAATGGGATTAGCTGTTTATAAAAAGAGTTGTGGTCTGACTTCTGAGTTTGTCATGTGTCAGTGCCTTCGTGTCAAGTCGCGAGCGCATTCAATGCGCGTGGCTGCCACGATCCTCAAAATTTCACTCCACAGATCTTAGCAAATACTCGAAACCTGAAAACTCTTGCGCGTGTGCTTCTCATGTTAGTGCCACTCCATATTTTCCACTCGTCTACATAAAAAGAAAAGAAAATACTAGTAACACAAATCTATATATAATAGCAAACTGAATAAATGTCTTTTGTTGTTATACCTTTTCGTTTTTAACCGTCTTATCTATAACCGCTCATAAAAAGAGTTGTGTTCTTTCAGTCGCATATTTTCGTTTATAACCGCTACATTGTTGAAAAGTTGCACCTTTTAGTAATACCTTTTCACTTCTATATATGTGTGAGATTATTTTATCAAATAGTTACATTTTTTTTCCATCCTTTCCTAATTATTTTCTTATTTTTTTCTCCCTACTTCTCTCATTGTTTTGTATTAACTTTTGTTAAATGCCATTTTTATATAGCTGTTGCTTCATTCATATGTTTACTCATTTTAGCTATGGCTTTTGCACAATTAAGTAATTTTGATACAGATTAAAGCAAGCTATCATATATCATGGCTTGTGAATCAATGTGGAGGAAATTCAAATATGAGATTCATGTTCAATATCTTTAGGTCAAAGTGTAAGCACACACTTCTGTTGAACAACCGCCATGAGAACGAGGAACGAAACTCACCAATGCAGGAGACTCGGTTAAGTCGTTATTGACTTTGAAGGTGAATTGATATCACTCGTAGCTTTAATTAACGCTTTCGAAAACTCATAAACTCTTACCTTGTGACACAGAACGTCCAACATCAGGCAACTCTACATAGACTACATCTCCCAAATGCTCTTGAGAATGATACGTTATACCAACCGTCGCTTTATTCCCTTCGATCTTCACCCCATTCATGTGAATCTGCGTATCTCAGATCCTTCAATACCACCAGTAAAAGTTTCTCACAATCCTTCTTTCTTTATTTTTTTATATGACAAAATTGTTTTGTGTTTTAAAGGCTTCAAGCCAATCGATCATATAAATTCACTGTTATTAAAGCCTCTTTATTTCGTTTATGTTAAGATCAGATATTAAAAAAAAAAATTAATTTAACATGTTACAGATCAGAAAGGCAGAACATTTCTCAATAGAAATCGAACAAAGAGAAAAGGGATGGTAGAGGAAGGAAATGGAGATTCACCAGAAGAAAAGCTTCGTTGAGAAACGAAGATCCTGAGATGAGAAGCAACTCTAGAAGAAGCCCACAACAATCTGGAAGCCATTTTTTCTATGATTCTGTTCGCGGTGGCTGTGTTAAAAACTTAAAAGCGCAGAGAAGATTTTCCGTGATACACAATAATGATAGTGCACTCTTTATTTTTTAAATTTGTTTTATTATTTTTGCTATAATTAAACAAGTTTATGCTAAATTGTTTGTTTGAAGTTACGTTTATTGATAGTAACAAGTTCATTTGATGGTAAACTTGTTCGACAGAGCCAACTTCTCTCCCGATAGAGACGACTTTTCGTGCGATTGTCACAACCGCCGTCTTTGCGTCTTCTCCGGCCGACATTGGCTTCACGCATCTCCAGCGTCGACACCAATGCCTATTTTTATTGTATATTCAATCTGGGTTGGGTTTAAGTTTCTATCCAATTTGAATCTCATCACTTATGGAATGTCATCTACAACATCTAAACTGTTAGATGATTGTGTTAATCTTGAATCCGATGATGGTTTTACGACAGGCACACGGCGGTTTCTTCATGCCACACCTATGGTGGTGTATCACAGTGATCGCTGATGTTGTGCGGCGTTGGTCTCCCATTTCGTTCAAGCGTTGTCGGTTCCAATGGGTAACCGTTTTTCTCTCTCATGTAGAGTTTCTTTCCGGTGTAACCGGTTTTGGTGTTGGATTGTTGTCAATTTACCTTGTATGGGATCCAGGAATCTCTCTCATGATAGAGGATACGTTAGCCATTAAACGAAAACGTAAAATGGTGACACCACATCAACATAGATTAGATGAAACTAAGGTCTTTTGCACACACTTGTGTAAAGGAGATATTAGTTTCTTTTCATCTTTGGTTATCAGAACTTTCTTATTCGGGATTGAGAGAAGGATGTAGAAATTTGAAACCAGCAAGGGGAAAATCAAAGTCAAAGTTCTTCACAATGACTATGATACGGAAGCTTTGGTATCATAATGTCGATATTTCAAAACTTTTATCGGAAGCATCGGGTTTTGCAATGCGGTGTGCAATTTGGAGGTTAAGCCAAGAAACGCTACTCAAGCACACAATTCGCATAAGAGAAAGATCGAGTATGGAGAAGGAAAATAATGGATATCATAATCTGTTAGCGAGTAAGGCTTATCTAAGGCATCGTTAAATTCACTTCTTCTGGAGTATCTTTTTCAGTATATGGCACATATATCTGCTTATATATGTAATAATTTGCTTTTTGAGAGTTCTGTAAATGACTTTGCAATCCCGATTTGATATCAATGAAATTATTAGATGAAAAAAAAAAAATAGTAACAAGTTCATATTTCCTTTTCTTTGTGCTTCTATTCGGTAAGTGCTAATTCTAATACTTTATATAAATCAACATGCATATAAGAATAACATGTTCTATTTCTGTATAGTTTTTTTTAGGGAAAAGTAATTGACCCGCAACATATAAATTGTTAAATATTAATCATAACTTGAAGCAAGTTGTCATGGACGCTCCAATCCCAACACGACTTTGCCATGACATTTCTTCATGCATCCAAAACCCTTGCAACACTTAAACTAAACAAAGTAATTCAAATAATATTTAATGTTTACCATAAATTTGTATATCGATTTAATTGAAGGATAAGTTAATATTAAATTAAGAATTATAAAATGTGACACCATGATGATGAAAAGCATTATAACGAATTGGGAATATTTATAACCCATTCCCTTAGCTTAATAATATAAATATGTATAAACATATATACATTACGTTCATATATAATGAAGTGGTGCGATGAACCATCACAACCTTTGGATGATATGTAATTATGAACCATCACAATTCACAACTCTTGGATTATATGTACATGTATATATTTGTGTGATATTTCAGCGTGACAGTTACCCTTTCATTACATGAGAAATAGATAATAGCAAGTTAGTAACCCTTGAAAGAAATTCATAAAGTTGTCAAAAAAAAAAATTACATCAATAAAAGAATAGTAATCTTCCCCAACAAAAGATCATAAAAGAGCAAAGGGTCAAAGGGAATTCGAAGAAGAATCAATTGAACTGTTGATCTCATAACAAGCATAAAAAAGCATGGATCAAGGTTAGTGTTTCTTTCTTATTCTTTACGAAACAGTTTAGGTTGGAGTAAACCAAATCTAGATCTTCTTGGAATATATTTCAGAATATAAATCATTAAAGTAGTTTATAATTGACATAAGAGCCATTCTAGATTTGTCTAATCTTCCAGTGATTAGTGTCCTGAAGGCATAACGGTGACCTTTATGGAATTGATCGATTGTGACATAAAAGTTGTATCGGTTAGTGTTATACTACTTTCTGATTTCAATTGGTGGAGAAGAAATCAGTGGTTACGGTATCACATTAGTTGTTTGAACGAATGCTTAAATTAATTTCTCTTCTTCTGGAACTGTTGTTGATTAAGCATGCATGCATTAACGAGTGTTTTCTAAATTTAGCATGGAGTATTCTGGAAGTATTATGGTGCGGTTATAAATTGGCAACTAAGGAGTAAACAGTAATTAAAGTTACTATAACGATGTTGTTAGTAGATTCATAACCCGAGAAGATGTTGTTTGAGAATGGCTTGAACTGGCGATAAGTTGTTGATAACTGTTTCCATTGCGCTTTTTAAGAAATGGGTAATTTGTGTTATGCAATATTAACATGATAAGGAAGATCTTGGAAGTATGGTTAGAGATCTTGATCATACATTTATTCCCGTTCATCTTTGACATCCAAAGGTGATCAAGAAACTTATGTTGGTACTTCATTTTTTATCTATGGAAATTAATTACCCTGGTTCAACTCTATTTTTGCTTTAGCAACAAGATCGAAACAGATTGAAACAAAGAACATGTCTAAACACAAGAATAGTATACGAAAGAAAAACAGAGAAACAATTCATATGTATTCTACTTAAAAAATTGGAAAATTACTTCATCATATTAAAAGAACAAAAAAAAGAATATAGCGATGAATGTCCAAGCAAGTGGGATCGATTTAAAGATCATCAATTTATCACTTTTGCAAACCCTCTTCGTCCTGGCGATAAGATGTTGTTTGAGAATGGCTTGAACTGGCGATAAGTTCTTACGTTAGCATTTGAATTTACACTAAGTGGAAAAGAAAACTGAGTATGTCGGTCAATTGTGATTGAAACATACCCTGATTAGATCCCATTTTGGAAAAAAGATTGGGGTAATTATTATCTTCAAGAAAAAGACCAGTGACAAATTTTTTTTCGAAAAAATGTGATTTCAAAGTGTGTACATTTTTCTAATGTCATGACTCATGTGAATCAATAAGCTTTGTCTGAAAACAAAAAGCAAAACGATTTTTTTTGTTACACTATTGAGTTTGGGAGAGAAAACAGAGTGAAGCAATAAAAAGAGGGAGTTAACATTACAGATCAAATCCTATTTTGTCAATCTCATTTTTCCTCATCTAATTTAAAAACAGCAAAATATTGTCGGATTGCATTATCTTGTATGACAATTTTTAGAGCAACAAGTTCAATTTACATTATTATTTACTATTATAACTACCATATAATATTTTTTCATTATATGATACATGTATTGCAAAAAAAATTTTAATAAATAATTTATCATAATATGAGTTACCGCGCGATTTCGCGCGGGTTCAATACCTAGTTTCTTATAATAAAAAGCTTAATGTAACACTCTGTTTTTTACTAACCACTAGTTTCTTTTGCTTAATAGTTGAAGTATTTAGTATTTTTCCTTATTCTTACTTTAATCTTTAGCAAACAGCAATCTGTAAAATACTAGTATATGATAATGGGGTCTTTCAAAACTAGAGCTTGATTGTGGTCTACATAGAACGTCTCTCATTCAATCATTCAATTGGAGTTAGTTTCCTCAATGAAAATAGGTTTTAGGAAAATGAGGTAAATTATAATGATGTGATAATTTTTTGCTATGGCGGTTTTTGATGGACCAAAGTCTATCATTCTCTTATTCAATTGACTGTGATATTCATTACAATAACAAAAAAAAAAAGACTTCTTAGGATATGTGAAATGATCGGTGTTTTTACTGAAGAAATAATTTCAAATACTTCGAATAGTGGACTGTGGACGGTTTACGCGGTATTATGATTTTCATTTTTTTATTTATAAAAAAGGAGGTATTTGAGAATACCTCATATGATTACGTAATGGTTTCGAGGTTGGAATTGGGTTTGTGTGCTTCGGATTCATATTCTCTCTCTCTCTCTCAGTGTGTGCTTTGCTCTAGCATCGAACACGTCATGCCAAGCATTGCACATGCGTTCGCAGACCAAACGAGCTACAAGAGGTAAGCGCTCGAATCGCCTAAGTAAAGCATCTAACAGAATACTTTGATAGCTCACAAAATGTATTCAGACTTTTCTGTGTTGAGAGGTGGTCCATATGATTCTTTTCGCTTCGCTCCAAATCTTTAATTTTTCGTTTTTTGAAATCGATATATGATAAGTCCCTTTCTATAATCCCAAAGATAGTATAAAAGCCACTTTGTGTGTGTCCTAAACATTAAACCCAATTAAAAACAACACAGCACTCACCAGTAATCTCCACAAGAACAAAGCCCATCTTTGAAATGGTGAAACCGCTTCGCATCTCTAACCACAAACTCTCTATCAACAATCTTCGAAATCAACTTGATCACACTGTGACAATCGCTGCAAACTCTCAGGTTCTTAACCACACTAACCGTCGAGCCAGGAACCGTGTTCATGATCCCAAACGCAACCGCTAGTTTCTCGCTGTGAACTCTCAGCGTCATCTCTTTCTCTTCCTCATCAACATCATGACAAACCGACGCCGTGTTCGACACGTAACCTGCCTCCACCAGCTTCCTGTTCAGCTCCTCCAAAAACTCGTAAATCTTTTCCCGCTGAGGATGCTCTTCGTCTCCGATCAAGAACACATGAACCTCACCGTTCAGCTCAAGAAGACTAAAACCAGGCGGTTTCACCAATCCACGACTCTTCATCACCATCCTCACCCTCTCAACGTCTCTCCAACGCCCCGCATCAGCGTAGATATGCGAAAGCAACATGTAGTAACCGCAATTCGAAGGGTCTAACTCGAACAACCTCGCCACAGCTACCTCCGCGAGCTCCACGTTCTTGTGGATCCTACAAGCTGCAAGAAGCGAGCTCCAAATAACAGAGTCAGGCTTCATCTTCATCGTCTGTATCAAATCATAAGCTCTCTGAAGAAACCCTGCTCGGCTCAAAAGATCAACCATACAACCGTAATGCTCCAAACCCGGTTCAACACCAAACCTCCCCTTCATCTCGTTAAACCAACGCCAGCCTTCGTCATGAAGACCAGCGTGACTGCAAGCAGCCAACACCGACACGAAAGTAATGTAATTTGGTCTAACCCCTGAATCGATCATACCAGGGAACAGCTCTAACGCTTTATCCGCATGGCCGTGCATTCCATATCCAGCAATCATCGCCGTCCACGACCTAACATTCTTGTTCTTCATCCGATCAAATACCTTCCTCGCAGTCTCAACTCTTCCGCATTTGCAATACATGTCAATGATCGACGTCCCTACAATCACATCATCCTCAAGACCCATTCTTATCACCTGATCATGTATACACTTCCCAATACGCAGAGCACCTGAATGAGAAGCAGCCAGCAACACAGTAGACAGAGTAATGGAGTTAAAGGTCATAACTTTATCTTCCACCAGTATCCGGAAAACATCAAAAGCTTCACTAGACATTCCGTTCTGAGCATAAACACTCATAATCGAGTTGTAAGAAACACGATCCTTATCCACAATCTGATCAAAGATTTTTCTCGCCACAGAAACTCCTCTTTTTTCTCCACTTTTGGCGTAAGCATCTAAAAGAGTGTTACCAACACTCACTCCTCTATCAAACCCTCTCTTAATCACAAAGCTGTGAACTGTTTCTGTTAAACCTTTAGCGGAAACACGAGAACAAGCTGAGATGACTGAAACCATACTCATAGAATCAAGGAGCATTGCAGCGTCATCTTCATGATCTCCACAAGCATGACTTTCGTTTTCTTCGACTAATAAATCTTTGAAAAGAGAGACAGCGTCAAGGGCATTACCGTTTAGGTCATACCCTCTGATCATTGACGTCCAAGAGACGATATTTCGATTGGGAATTTCGTCGAACACCTTCCGTGCATCCCTAAGTTGTCCACAAGTTGAGTACATGACGATCAAAGCGGAAGAGACGAAGATGTCAGATTGATAACCGAAGACGAAAGCTTGCTGGTGAGTCTGCTTCCCGGAGAAGATATCGAGAAGAGACGAACATGCTTTGATGGCGCAAGGGAAGCTGGAGCGAGTAGGGTAGAGAGAGAGCTTTCGCATTGAGGAAAAAGCGCGAAGAGCTTCAGCGGAATCGCCGCTGCGAGCGAGGTCGGCGATGACAGAGTTCCACGAGAAGACATCTGTCTTGTCGACATATCTGTTGAACAGTGTTGTTAGGTTTTGTCTGTCTGTGTATCTCTCCGTGTGGAGAAGACGAGCGACGGAGGCCACCAGAGATGTTTTACTCGGAGCCTTCATTCATTCTTTTGTCTCACTCAAGACAATTTAATTGCAAATATAAAGAATCAACCAAAATCAAAATCAAAATCAATGAATCATTTTTGTTGTTAATCATTTTTTTCTCATTTCCCAAACAAACATTACAAAAGAGGCCGTGGCATATAATATAACATCATCTGCAAACCTTTGTTCTTGATTTTTCTGCAGATTCATGGTATATAATATGAAATCATTTTGTGGAAATAATTACCAGTTGAATAAAATTTTGAAGCTACAACAATCTAAGATGAGCAGTATCATTCATTCGTTTGATCTGCCAACCATTTCTCCAAGAATGCTGTAACACAGTCACTGAAGAGTCCTCTACACATATCTTATGAGTCATCACCGGACTGCAACCGAGGATTCCGGTGAGAAGACACTTTATAGGCAAAGAATGTGTGAAAACCCCAATGCAAGTTGAGATCAACGAAGATGAATCACTTAGATCGTTGTTGTGATTATGATTAACCTCTTCCTCTCTTGGGGATAGTTCACCGTCAGGCCCGTGATTGGTCATCACTTGAAGCCTGCTTTTACCGGATTTCTTCCTTGTGAGGCTGGGACGATGCTTGTGAAGCAAGTCCCAGTTAGTCGAAGTAAGCGAAGAAGAACTATCACGCTCATGTGTTGAGGCAAAATCTGGCCTGAGCTTCTCTGCAAGTCCTGAGACTGTTCCGTTTAGAAACTGAACCATTCGGAACTCTACTTGCCTGAGTGATTCTCCAGATGGGGACGTGAAATCAGGCTGACATTTATCGATTAAGCTCAAGATTTCAGGTGTGTAAATCTCTGATTGACTGCAACCTTCCCAATCTCCTAGACTCATCTCAATAAGTGCGTCTGAGGAATGTACATGCTCCTCTGAAAAACTCATTTCCTGCCAAAAAAAAAACAAGTCTTGACTCAGTAACTTTCTTCTCAAACTCATCTATGTCACTAGAGGATCCAAACTAAGCTATTTAAGCAAACAAGCATAAAGAAGATAAGGTCACATCAATACCACAAACCATCACAAGTAAGCAGTGTAAGAGGCATAATGTTGTGTAGAACCAGAGAGGCAAAATTGAAATTGAAAGTATCAATTTCACTATTCTATATGAGTGGTTTCAATGGATTCCTGATTGTAAAGTTTCTACGGCTCTTGGTAACGCTTAGATCCAAGAGGAAGAGACTGAGAAGATCACCTGGCAAACAGAAATGGCCATGGATCTAGCTCGATCGAGCGGCGAGGAATAGACGGAGGTGAATCGAACACCCTGGGATTTGAAGAAAACAGCGAGAGCCCTGGCTTGGCGTTTACCGTTAGCGGTGAGGGCGGCGACGTGGCATCTCCCTCCGATCAGATCAGGCCTTAGATTGAGATCGCACTCGCCGTGGCTGATGAGATAAACCTCGGTGACAGCGCGATCTTCGTCCCCGGACGCGATTCGGGAGAAGATAGGCGGAGGGAGTAGAGAAGAATGAGGACGCGGCGGCGCGAGGACGTTGTAAGGATCCCAGACTTTAATCGACGGTCCAATCCGCGGAGTTCCGAGAGATGATAGCTGTGGAGAAAGAGGAGAAGCTGAAGCGTGACATGGTAACATCTCAGGCTCTTGCTCCAGAACTCTCTTCACTAAGAGATTATCCAATTCTCTTATATTCGATCCGCCATTATCATGCTCCTCATCTTCTTCTTCTTCTTCTCCTTCTTCACCATCAGTTTCCTCTTCTTCTTCATCGTCTTCGTCTCCAGCTAGTGCAGACTGTGACGACCCCATCTTCGTTGTCAAAGTGTTCTTACGAGAAAATGGGGGATAAAGAAGCAAAGCTTTTTGTTTAGCTTGAAACCGATCACATCACATGGAGGATGGCTCCACCAGCTTAGCAAAGAGAGAACCATTTTCAGATCTGTCTGTCAACGAAAGCAGACCCTCCCGGCGAACGAGAAGGTTTAAATCTTGGGCCTGAGCCCAACTTCTGGTTTAAATTAAAAACCGGGTAGGCCCAGGGATGTTGAATTCGGGTTTGATTTGGTTATAAACTTTCCGTTATAGAGAGAGATACACAGAACTTGTGATCAGTTTAACGATTTATATGCTTAACGATACACAGAACTTGTGAATTTTACAATCTTGATTTCAAATTAAAACTTGAATTCGACTTATTTAGAGGTATAAATCCATTATCCATATATCATGATTTCATGAATCAGAAGGAAAAGGAAAACCATTGATTTTGAAAGCAGTCATGCCACCGTCGACGATCAAGTTATGGCCGCTAACGTATTTACCGTCGGAGGAGGCCAGATACAGAGCAGCTTTAGCCACGTCAGCTTCTTCGCACTCTGCTCTTTTTAGCTCACCCATCCCTTTTACCGTCTCACGGAGTTTCTCATCCGTCACCTTTGGGAACACTTTCCTAAGGTAACGGAGAGTGAGCGGCGTCGCGACCGTAGCCGGTGATATACAGTTGATACGCACGCCGTGTTCGCAGAGCTCGCTCGCCGCCGATTTCACTATTCCGGGGATTGTGAATTTCGATATTGTGTATGAATGTGGGGCGAACCCTCCAAGCACGCCTGCATGATAGATATTACAACAAAAGTCAACAATGAGTGCTGAGTGCTGAGTGCTGACCAGAAATTGAGACAGAAAGCAAAAACATAAGTTGAGAGCTTAATTCAAGACTAGTCTTAAAATGCTTCAGTTTGAATGTTTGATGAATGTTTATATATCTTAATATTATTAAATTATATTTAAGCTATGATTAATTCACATATAAGTGTATAACCCAAAACTTTGATTAATATTAATACCTGCTATGCTTGAAGTGCACAAGATACATCCTGACCCAGCCGGAATCATAACCTTGGCGGCGTGTTTAATGCCGGAGACAACGGCGATAACGTTAATTCTCATCACTTTCTCGAACTCCGTCATATCAAGCTCTGATATGCTCGGCGGACTTATGGGTCCCACAATCCCAGCATTGTTATACATCACGTCTAGCTTCCCATGCTTTGCCACCGTCATTTCCACGGCTCCGGCGACATCCGCTTCCACCGTGACGTCGCAACGCACAAACTCTGCCGCCGGGCCTAGCTCCTTGGCGGCTTTAATCCCGCTTTCCGCATCTAAGTCGGCGATCACGACTCGGGCACCGTGCCGGAGAAACTCGGCGGCGGTTGCTTTACCTAACCCGCTTGCACCGCCGGTTATGAGAGCTACTTTACCTTCTAGCTTCTTGCTGCGACGTAATTAATGTTTATAAAAATAGTTACTAGCTAATAATCTAATATTTGTATTAGTGTCGATGCCATATCATCTTCTATGTTCAAGAAATAAGAAAGAAAGCATAATTTTATCGAATTAAGTTGACAAACTATCAATCAGTCATCTTCAACAAAAAAAACATCAATAAATCAAGACTTACTCAGTTAGATTTTTGCTTTTATCAACTTTATGAGTGTTTTCCATTTCAGGGTGAATTTTAAAACTATAATTTCATATATAGAAGCCTAGCTGAGGAAGAGAAGGGAACTTACCTCGTACAAGTACAACCACCGGTGGAGTAAGCGGCTGAGGCTGCGGTGGCTGGCCGCTTCAAGGTTCTAGCAAAAGAAAGTACACCGACGTTAAAAAATTTGTGACAAAAAAAAAAAAAAAGATTAAGCTGATGTCACTAAAATGATTGAACAACTTAGTCATGAATTAGTGGTTAAGAGATGATGATCTTGTTGACCAAAAAAAGAGAGATGGTGATCTTAATTTTACCTGGCAATGGATCTGATCACTACGGCCGCCATAGATGACTGCTTAATTCTTTGAGATATTTGAAACGTAAGAGTATTCAGTTTTGGTTCTATATATCTCAATGACGTGTAACTGATGCACGATCAGACAAAAAGACAGAGGACTATAGAGTAGCTTGGTAGGTGTTGAATGCATATAATATCTCTATTACAAAGATATTATTATTCTATGGACTAAAAAGATTATGTAACTGTGGCATCTCTATGGTAAATATCTCTTGGTGTTTCTCCAGGCGGAGAAACCAATTAGGCTTGGTTAAGAAAACCAAACTTTGGCTTATTCCAATGATATATGTAACTACATATCTTAATCATACAATGTCCCACAGTATTACAAAAGAACATACAGATTAGTTACCCCAAAAACACACTCTTAATTAACAATATTGGAATACTAATAAAAGGGTCTCACTAGCTTGAATATCAAGGAAAAGGGAGAGTAAGAGACTTGAAACAAGTAAATCCACCATCAACAACAAGGTTATGCCCTGTCACAAACTTAGCATCATCCGATGCCAAATACAAAGCCGCTTTAGCCACATCTCTCTCTTCACACTTCTCTCCCTTTAACTCTCCTGTCGCGTTCACAATCGCCAAAAGCTGTTCTTCTGGAATGTTGTGACCCGCAAACGCCTCTCGGAAACTCTTCAGCGTTAGAGGCGTTGGGATTACCGCGGGAGATATACAATTAATCCTTAATCCGTGCTTGCACAGCTCGCTAGCGACGGTCTTCACCACACCCGGGATTGTGAATTTAGAGATTGAGTATGCATGTGGGCCTAGACCGCCCATCAAGCCACTGATGCTTGAGAGGCAGAGGATGGATCCCGAGCCAGCAGGGATCATGGCTCGAGCCGCGTGTTTTATCCCTAACACGGTACCTCGCACGTTAAGACGCATCACTTTGTCGTAAATGTCCATGTCTAGGTGCGCTATGCTTGGTGGTGCTATGGAGCCTGCATTGTATAATTAATGTTTGAATAATTAGCATTCCACGTAACGAGAAAGGTATAATATCCGAGATTTATAAAATTTCAGCCATAAGAAAAAAAAAAACAACTTTTTTTTATCATCGAATATATTTGGTATTTTGTGTATGAAACTAAAGCAAAACCATTATCCTATAATAAAATTTAACGGCGAATATTTTCGCTAATGGCATAATGTCACAAGTCACAACTCACAATTCGATCATAATTTTTGTTTGGTTGATAATCAGTAACTTAACTATACAATGATTAGCGACTGAATGATATAGAATAATTAGTGGATTGTGACGAATTTGTTTTCGTGTTTTTTTTTTTTAATTGGTAGAATTACAGGTCACTACGAAAACGAGATTTGTCGCATAAGAAAGTAAGAAACCATCACAACAACAAAAAGTTTTCTACTATACTGTGCACGTTCTTATATATGTTGTATTAATAAATGGTATGTTAAGCGAGATTCAAAATATATATAGTTATTTCTTACATGATATTCCGGCACTATTGAGCATTACGTCGAGCTTCCCATGGTTAGCCACGACGGTTTCCACAGCCTTAGCGACTTGTTCCTCCACAGTGACATCACATCTTATGAATTGTGCGGCTGAGCCAAGTTCCCTCGCGACCATATGACCAGCTTCCTCGTCTATATCTACAATACTTACTCGGGCACCTTGGCTTACAAATTCCTCCGCCGTGGCCTTCCCTAGCCCGCTTGCACCGCCCGTTATGACCGCGACTTTTCCTTCTAACTTTCTATATATTATCCACAAAGCAAAAAAGTTAGAGGTTTTTGCATGTTTTAATTGAGATTAAAATATTGGACCTCGTTAAAATATCTGAAGAAAAGTATATAATTAAAGATCATTTGTATATAGAGTCGACCTTGAAGAAGTTGAATAGAAGACAATAGAGCTAATTGGCTTGGAGATCAAACCATTCTGTACAATGTGTTTGAAGCTTCTGCAAAGAGAAGCAACGGAGACGAAAATTGAACTGTACCTAATTTTTTTAATAAGATAATTGGACAATAGATTTAAAACATGTCTAGTGAGCGTTTTACCTTGTGAATGACCTCAGCATTTTTCCTCTTCCTCTTCTTAATCACTATGAGAACGTGAATCTTGAGATCTCTTTGTTGCAAGAGTCTTAAACCTTTTTATCATGGGAAACAACGAGAGAAAAGGTTGTGGGAAGTTCATAGTATACTCCATTTTCTTAATATATACTGTGATTCTTTTATATTCTTTAATGTTTAAACTTTAAACTAAAGTCTCGTTTCACTTTTCGCATAGCTAAGCTATATGCATGTAATTTTAAGCAGGTTTTAAAATATGATTTTGAAAGGAAAAAGTAGATTTTAATTTGTAAAGTTCCATTGAATTGTTCTTTATATCAAATGACAAGGCTTAAATGTTGGTTATTATTTGTGATGTTATACTTTTCTCAATGTAAGGCTTTAGATAGTAACCAAATTATAAGAGAATTGACAAAAAATGATTTATATTAATTTCAGCATAGCTTGTTCGGTGGAGATTTTTAAGTTATTTCACAGGTTGTTTATCATTTTTTTACATATGTTTGTGTTTTAGAAAAAAATAAAAATAAATCAGCTAATCAGAAGTATCTTGTTTGTCTGGAAAATGTTACTTGGTTTTTTTCCCCTTCCATTACATGACAGTTTAGGTTGTATTTACACTAATTGGCATAAAACCTTTAATATCGTTTGAAGACAGTTTTTGTTCTAGTTGTTTTCATTGTATCGAAATCTATGTGTGTTTTATATATGATCGAATATATATATGTGTGTTAACTTTGTAGATATGGCACAATGTAAAGTGAATTATACATTTCGCTAGGACACGCATACTTTTCATTATATATTTGTTTATCGTAAGCTAGAGTAGTTTAAACCCAAACTAATGGTACTAACTACTAACCCCATCAACTCATTCAACCAATGTACTACAAGACCCCATCGAGTGGATAAGAATTAAAAAAGAAGAAAGAGAGGAGAATCTTGGATAAGACAGAGATTCTCAAAAAGCTACAATCACTGAAAAGTTGTTGACTACAAACCGAAAGGATCAAAACGGATTAAAATAAGAAAAAGAATTCATGTTAGTGGCCACTAACTTGGGTTGGGTAGGTTTTAAAACTTTCAAATTTTCAATCATGTAAAAAAATGGAGAGTTTTGTCTAGATCTCAAGGGACAAGAAAGTAAACAACGACACCGTTTTTGCAGGCTTTACTGCTCCACAACTCAAACTTCTCTTTATCGCTAATTTTAATTACGATTAAGATAACTCATCAGTGTAAAATTATTGGAGTAACTAAGATAAATGTTAATTAAAATCCTGAAAAAAATTCAAACCCCTGTTGTTTTTGTCATCTTGCATATGGAAGGAGACAGCCTTCGGACAAAGCAAGCTCTACTACACTGTCTCTTTTTAACCTATCCTTTTTGTCTCTTTTTATTACAGCAACAGTATCTGTTATCTTCTTTTGTCACGTGGGGACGTGGGGGCACGTTATTTTGATCCATAATGGGCCGTAGCTCGTCTAAGCCCAAATATATATTCTTACTGGACTAATTTTATTAAGCCCATCATCAATCGTAAATACTTTTAAAACAAAAATTATAATGGAAAATTCAAAACAGAGCAATTTCCAATTTCTATGGAGCAAAACCCTAAAACCCAGAGGAAATGGCGATACACATGGGAAGCTCAGTCTCATTCTCCGAATCTCCGTCTGTTTCTCTTCGATTCGATAACTAACCCTAAGATCCACTGCAAGTGCCTCGATGTATCTATCATCCTCGGAAAATCTCAGCTTCTCGTCACTTGGATCGATGATGACGAAGAGAAGGGAAGAGAAGAGGTTGTTTCTCTTCGCGTTCCTGTTCCTAGGGTTTTGCTGGATGCTGAATCCCCAGTGAATTTCAGAGCTTTGGAAGATCACATCGAGGTAAGACTTGCTCTGTTACTCCCCGTCGATCACCCTTTAGTCTCCGACTTCAATTTGGCGACTGATTCTGAAAAGTCGGCGCCTTTAGTGATGGATTATGATCTGAAAACTCTGTCATCATTAGGAGGTGTTCTTATAAACTGCAGAAACTGCTCAAACAGGTTAACGAAGAAAGCCCTTTTCGATTTCTCGGAAATGCCGTCTATTAACTGGCGAGAATCAGCTGATAATTGGTTTGGTAATTGCTGTTGTTCGTTTGGAAGAATCAGTGAGAAAATGGTAGCTAATTACACAGATTCGTATACATGCTCTACTGGTTTGTGTTTGCTTAGTGCTACAACTGTTTTGCTTAGCAAAGATGATCTCATTGGAATTGGAGACCAATTTGAATCAAGTGTAGCTCTGAGCTGTGATCTTGTTGGAGTTGACATCCATGAGAATGGAGGTGAGAGTGTTTGTGGTAAAGTCGATGACTTGATGCTCCGTTGTATAGATAAGGAAGCAATGCCTGAATGTTGTGTACATGACTCAGATGGGGCTACTGAGAGTTTTCAGCTGGAGCAGAAACTTACACTTGATAAGAAGTTTTTGCTAGATGGGTTTCTTGAGGATGTTTTCATGGCGAAAGCGTTGAATGTGTCGAAGAATGTTGAGTGGATTGAATTCGTTTGTCCAGAGTGTTCATCTCCTCTTGGAGCCTATCCTTCTGGCGTTGGGAGCAATGATAAAAAACCTATAGATGGTGGAGTTAGGCTCTTCAAATGCTATGTTTCCACATCGTCGGCGAGCGGTGAAGCCTCTGATGTTTTCAGGAAATATACACTGGAGAGGATGTTTACGAATCAGCTAGTGGAATGCGCTAAAGAAGAGTTATCGTTTCATGTGTTGGTCAAAGATTTGAGATCCAAGTCGCCTCTGTTCCAGATTGTCATCCTGAATCCGAACACTTGGTCCTCGTCTGGTCTATGCTCGAGCCGAGATGAGGCAGGTTCTGCGTTAGAGCTAGCCCCTGTTGTGAAGGTTCTGTTTTCAGATTGCGTCAGCTCATTGGGGAAGAAGATTGATGAAGAGGTTTACATTTTGAAGGGACAAGGAGAGGAGTTGATTGAGTTGCTTACAGATGCGAGCAAATTTCTTCCATCTTCATGTGCATATCTTCAGGGCTCACTTGTCTCTTCTATGCATATGTGATAAAATTAAAAAAAATGTTTATTTAGCTAATCACGACTATATCTCTGTTGTACCGTATTAGATAATGCGGCAATCTTTGTTAAACCAAAATTTCAGTATTTCTTTCACTATGAACTAGAAACAAATTAGTTGAAAAGTCCCATACAATCGAATTACATTAGATTTATGAGATCAAGCCGTACCATTCTTCTTATTTCTCCATTACTTAAATGTTTTTTTTCCATCCTAGACTTCAAGGGAAGCGTCAGGACTATTTCACTTGATTTGGAATTACGAAAAGCAAATGAGGTGGTTACACTTCTCTTCCCTCTTTGCTAATCTGATTACTGGTGGTGACTGGAAAGTTGAGCATGTATATATTGTCCAGTCTCAATTCTTAGAACAGTTCAGAAATTCAAACCAGGATAAATTTATATAATTATAACCGAAATTTATGTCAGTGAACTATCTATTTGGAGGCTATCCAACTTGATTACAATGGAATTGAAAGGCTGGTTTTACACGGAAAACTTCTTGAGTCAAAAAGCTCTAGATAGGGTTGAGTTTTCATGATGAAGATGGCAACAACTCTCAAGGGGTTGACCACAAGGAAGAAGGTGAAGCACAAATATATTTGGAAGAGTCTGAAATTTGTTTCACTACTTGTTTCCATGAGGGCTAACCAAATTAACAGGTCCCCCTTCTATGACAATTTCTAAGTGAGTATCGTTAAGAATCTTTTATCCAAAACTTGACAAGCTTGTTGGATAATTATGTATTTATGTTTTACTTCAACTTATATCAACTCATCAAACTAATTTGAAATATAATGGTTATTTGGCCTAGCTTAAGACGTGCGTGTAACAATCTAAATGAGCTCTTGGCGTTAGTATTTGAGCTCAGATGATGAATATATACTTCATTCATACCTTCCAATATTTGAAGTTAGTTCGTTAGATTTATATACGCAAATGAGGTTTGTGAACTTTTCCGCCTCATAGTTAATGAATGAAAGCAAAGTGTTTGAAGCAATATTTGATATTCATATATTGTAAAGGAACACAAACTATCGATATATGTTATAAATAAAAAAAACACATTTTTTTGTTTTGGTATGAAAAACACACAAATTTAGCAAGACTAACTAAATAAGATACTACCTCTGTTTTACGTTTTATTATGTTTCATGATATTTTGTTTTATAATTAAATTACATGTAAACTCAAAGAATACTAGTGGATGATATTTAAACAAAATAAATTAGTACTGTTTATAACTAATGGCAAGTTTTTAGTGTGAAAATATGATAAATGCATAATTATTAGATAAGTGACAAAATAAAATGTTTTAAAACATTGACTATAACTAACTGTGATACGTTACATTCCACTCCAAACATGAATTATTTGTTTAACTTTAAGTTAAAGTTAAAAGTTAATGAATGATGACATTCAAAAGGATTTAATTAAACTAATTAGTTCATAATTTGGTAATAGCATCCGTTACAGAAGTGCATGGAGGACACGCGTTGCATGGATTCAGTTTAGTCCATAAACTGACGTCATTAGTTTATTGCTAAACACCTGACTTATCATCATTAGTCTATTTTGTACTCACTCTCTCTATATAAACAGATAGACAGTGACAGAGAGAGAGATAAGCAAAATTAGCAAAGATGGAGTAGTGACGGTGAGAGACGGTAACGAAGAAGCAAAGAGTCACGAGAAATCTGGGGTAAGTGTTGAAAGCAAAAAAAAAAAAAGTTATGGTGGGTGTCTCCTAAATTGAATCGTCTACACCTAGAAAAAAAAAATCAAATCTTTCTTCTCTTTTTCAGTTTTGAAGCTCTGAATCTTATCATTCTCTCTCTCTAAAAAATCCTCTCCCTTTTCTCAGATTTTGCTTTTCTGATTAGCCCACCTCATGAAATCCTCGTGATTCCACTTTAATGCACTTTTCTTATATCTGTCTCTGAAAAAAATTCAAACTTTTTCTCCTCCTCTGTAGAATTGTCCTCACTCAAACTTTTTCCCCTAAAATTCAGGTTTAAAGCTCTCAACTTTCCGATGGTTCTCGACGGTAACGGCTGGTTAGGCGGCGGCGGAAGCGGCGGAGAACGGATTATACAAGAGGAAGAGAACGAGGAAGCTTCATGGGGTAGGAACCAAGAAGACGGTGGAGGCTCTCTGTCTCATTTCAAGCCTATGCTTGAAGGTGATTGGTTTAGCAACCCAACGCATCCACAAGATCTCCAAATGCTGCAGAGCCAGCAAGATTTCAGATTCCTCGGTGGTTTCCCTTTCAATCCCAACGACAATCTTCTTCTTCACCAGTCGATTGATTCGTCTTCCTCTTGCTCTCCTTCTCAAGCTTTTTCCCTCGACCCATCTCAGCCGTCGTCGTTCTTAACCGCCGCCGCCAACAACAACAAGTCCTGCCTCCTCAATGTTCCTTCCTCTGCAAACCCTTTCGACAATGCCTTCGAATTCGGCTCCGATTCCGGTTTCCTCGGCCAAATCCAAGCTCCGATTTCGATGGGGTTTGGTTCGCTGACCCAATTGGGTAACCGGGATTTGACCTCCGTCCCTGATTTCTTATCCTCTCGGTCTCTCCTCCCGCCGGAGAACAACATCGGCGGAGGTGGAGGTGGATTCACTCCGTTGGAGTTAGAAGGATTCGGGAGTCCTGCTAACGGCGGTTTCGTCGGAAACAGAGCGAAAGTTCTGAAACCATTAGAGGTTTTAGCATCGTCCGGTGCACAGCCTACTCTGTTTCAGAAACGTGCGGCTATGCGTCAGAGCTCAGGAGGAAGCAAGATTGGGAACTCGGAGAGCTCCGGGATGAGGAGGCTGAGCGATGATGGAGAGATGGATGAGACCGGGATTGAGGTCTCCGGGTTGAATTATGAGTCTGATGAGCTTAACGATAAAGCGGCGGCGGAGAGTTTTCAGAACGGAGGAGGAGGAGGAGGAGGAGGGAAAGGGAAGAAGAAAGGCATGCCTGCAAAGAATCTGATGGCTGAGAGGAGAAGGAGGAAGAAGCTTAATGATAGGCTTTACATGCTTAGATCAGTTGTCCCCAAGATCAGCAAAGTAAATCATTACTTCTCTCTTATCTCCTTTAAGAGCTCTGTCTTCATCTTTTACTTATCACAGACTAGACTTGTGACTTTGTTAAACTTCTTTGAATGTAGTTCTCTTTTTTATAATGTGTTTGAATTTAGAGGATTTGGATGAATTTTGCAGATGGATAGAGCATCAATACTTGGAGATGCAATTGATTATCTAAAGGAACTTTTACAAAGGATCAATGATCTTCACAATGAGCTTGAGTCTACTCCACCTGGAAGCTTGCCTCCGACTTCATCAAGCTTTCATCCGTTGACGCCGACACCGCAGACTCTTTCTTGCCGTGTCAAGGAAGAGTTGTGTCCCTCTTCTTTGCCAAGCCCCAAAGGCCAGCAAGCAAGAGTACTACTAAATACTATGTTCTTTATAACTTTGCTTAGACTCATATGTTTGAGATTTTGAGGAAAAGAAGCTACATTTACTCTGCTTTTTGTCTCCCACAGGTTGAGGTTAGATTAAGGGAAGGAAGAGCAGTGAACATTCATATGTTCTGTGGAAGAAGACCTGGTCTTTTGCTGGCTACCATGAAAGCTTTGGACAATCTTGGTTTGGATGTTCAGCAAGCTGTGATCAGCTGTTTCAATGGGTTTGCATTGGATGTTTTCCGTGCTGAGGTGATTATAATAATAGCATTATCTAACGTTCAGTTAAACAGTTATTGGAAGGTTTTAGTAAACATGTATTCTTTTTGTTTTGTCTAGCAGCAATGCCAAGAAGGACAAGAGATACTGCCTGATCAAATCAAAGCGGTGCTTTTCGATACAGCTGGTTACGCTGGTATGATCTGATCTGATCTGATCCTGAGTGGAGACCATTGAGAATCTTTTGATGCAAGAAGCTAGAAGAACTAAGGCTTTAATTTTCTTCTCTGTTTTTTTTTTTGTTTTTCCTTCAATTTAATCTTGTATGCAATTGCAAATGAGAGTTGTTTTTTTTCTAATTAAGCTTTGAAAACTTGGGTACAAAACTTCAACCTTTTTTTTTTAGCAATGTTAACTTCATTATGTTTCATCTCAGAATTTCTTTTTGATTTTCTTCATGAATCTTCCCTTTGAAAAGCAAAGATGATTCCAAAGTTTGCCAGGTGGTTTTAGTTCAGACTAGCTTTTGAATTAGATGTGAGTTTAAAAGACAAAAACAATCAGATGCCTATGGTTTTAGCAGATGAAAAATGTTGGTGCTTTATTTTGGTTATGACTTGTGTGAATTATGATGATGTGAATAAACCGAGAGGAGATGGTAAAGGAGGAAGAGGCAGAGCATAGAATGGGCCCAACCATTTTGTTTTTGCTTTTGTTTTGTCTTTAAATGCTAAATAAATTAAAAGTTTTTGTATCCGTTGTATCCGTACAAGATAAAGGTCAAGAAGAGACAGAGTTAATGGCGGTTAGGGACAGAAGAGAGAGATATAGTCACGAGAACCTACAGGATGTGATGAAGGATGAAGAAGAAAAGTAAAAGTGGTGTGGGCCTCCAAAATTGAATCTTTCATAAACCTATTCGTTTTAGTGTTAAGACTTAAGACTTAAGATATGAACATTTTAATCTCTTTTTTGTTTTCTCTTCTATGATGATTATTATCCTGCATTAATGAAGTCCTCGTGACTCCAGTTTTTAAATGTCCTTTTTGATGATTCAAACTTCAAAGCCGTTTCGTACTTTTTCTTATCCTTTTCTCTGCAAAAGTCTGTCCTTTTTGAGGTTTAAACTTTTCAGTTCCCAGTAAAAATGTTCTTTTTACTCATCATGCCATTACACATGGTCTACGTTACAAGCAGCAAAGTAAAAAAAAAAAAGTTTCTTACTGTTCCTTTCTCGTTAATTTGTTCTGTGATAAGTTGTTGTTTTGATATGAAGAGAATAAATATTCCGTTTTGTGATCGATGGATGCATGGTGCTTTCTTGCAACCAAAGAAAAAAACTGAAGCTTTCATGCACGTTGGAATCACTTATCTCTTCATTTCCTTTCCGTATACTTGCTTATAACGCAAGATTTATCACTTTCAAGTTTCTGTTCTTGGCCCTTCTTATTCGTGATTCCAAAGTGTCTTGTATAAGCCAAAGTCTCAATATTCCTCAATTTACAATCATAATCATAATTTTCCCTTGTAACCAAAAATGGTAGCTGAATGATTGTCGGTCTGTAGCGGTGGGATAACCGGTCTGTTATAACGGATGTGAGAAGAAGCAGTAAAAGTAAAGAACACGACACATAATTAACGTGGTTCACCAATAATGTGTTGGTTACATCCACAGACAAAGGAGACTGATTTATTGATGGAGGCCGAAAGTTTCAGAATACATCAACATTAGGATAACGAAGTTACTTATAGGAAAGACCTAGAAACCCTAATAGTATGTGAGTTGGGCTTCCACACTGAAGCCCATGTAGACATCACGAACTGACCACTGTGCGGTCCGTATGCGCCTTCTCTGCAGCCTTACGTAACTTCCAGAATGTATCATCACGCAGACTGCAGCTTCATCATGTAGCATCACGCAGAGTCGCAGACTGTAGCTTAGTGTGTAGGAACACACAGAGTCGCAGACTGTAGCTTCAGTATATAGCATCACACAGAGTCGCAGACTGTAGCTTCAGTGTGTAGCATCACACAGAGTCGCAGACTGTAGCTTCAGTATAGCATCACACAGAGTAGACTATAGCTTCAGTGTGTAACATCATAGCTGATCAAAGAGTATATACACATCACCGCCTACTCAACCAATATGCATACATTGACAGATTCAAGGCACATCAACAAATCTCCACCTTGACTTGAATCCTCATTACAACAACAGATGTACCAAATGCACTGTTATAGTGCCCGATGTACCGAACTTCTCATTTGCCTCAGACGTAGCAGTTTCATCCTTACGATCAGGATGTCTCAGATTCATATGCACTCTTATTGTGCCGGATGTATCAGATGCACGCTTACTGTGCTAGACATCTCTTTGCAGACGAGACACTTCTTCAGACCAGACGCTCCACCTAGAGCCAAGCGCTTTCTTCCCTTTGAAAAACAGATGCTCCCACCGGAGCCACACGCTCAATGCGGAACCAAAATGCTCTCACTAGAGCCGAATGTTCTATCAGACTTCAGAAATTCAGATGCAGAACCAGACATTCTCACTAGAGACGGATGCTTTTTCCAGAGCCAATTGTTTCTCCTGAAGCCATATGCTTCATTCAACGTCAGACGCTCTTTCCAGAGCCATATGCTTCTCCTAAAGCCAGACATTCCTTCTGGAGCCAGATGCTTCCTCTGAAGCCAGACGCTCCTTCTGGAGCCAGATGCTTCCTCCGAAGCCAGACGCTCCTTCTGGAACCAGATGCTCCCTTCGGAGCTAGAAGCTCATTCGAGCGAGACGCTTCTTCACCTTGAAGACCAACTTGTAAGTTGTAGTTTTGCTTCGTACTGGTGGTGTGACTGGAACCCATGTTTGATTCTCTTCAAGGGACTCAATCTCGTCTCCAATTGCAGCTAGCCATTTGTCAGCTTCTAAACGTGGAACATCTTCTCTATATGTGGTTGTTGAACCTTGCAACAAGTACAATGTACCATGTAGGATACCCTTCAACATCACATCAGAATCTTTGAAGATATTCAGAACACCATCTCCGCCAGAGTACTTGAAGCCTCTACTATCAAGCAAACTTAGTGATATCAAATTCATTGACATCGATGGGACATGCCTAACTTCCTTCAATGTGCAGAATTTACCATCATGTGTCCTGATCTTGATGGAACCAATCCCAGCAACCTTGCATGCATCATTGTTAGCCATTTTGATGCTATCACTCTCTACATGCTCGTATGTGGAGAACCATTCTCTCCGTGGACACATATGACAGGATGCTCCTGTGTCTAGAACCCATGCATCAGATTGATGTGTGTCTCCAGCAGCAACAAGAGCAATATCTTCCTCAGACATGTTGTCACCTTCAGCTACAGCTGCAAACTCAGATTGCTTCTTCTTCTTCTTTGGACAATCTGATTTCCAATGTCCAATCTCCTTACAGTAGTTACATACATCATCTGGTTTGGGACCCTTTGAAGAAAACTTCTTGTTATCTCTTCTATGTCCTCTACCCCCACTGACAAACAGTCCAGCAGCTTGATTGTATGTATCTGTACCAGATGCTTGATGGCGCAATTCCCTGCTGTGAAGTGACGATCTGACTTCTTCCAGCGTTATAGTATCCTTACCATTTATGAATGACTGCACATAGTGCTCATAAGATAACGGTAGGGATACTAACAGAAGTAAAGCAGCATCCTCATCCTCCACCTTAACATCGATATTACGCAATTCTAGTAATAGCGTGTTCAGCTGATCTAAGTGATCCCTGAGTTGCGTACCTTCATCCATTCTTAGAGCGAACAGACGTTGCTTCAGAAGCAGCTTATTCGTTAGAGATTTTGTCATGTACAACGACTCTAACTTCCCCCACAGACCAGCAGCAGTTGTTTCACTAGAAACCTCGATGATGACATCGTCTGCAAGACATAGCAAAATCGTTGCGTGTGCCTTCTCCTCCAGACTCGTCATCGCAGCAGCATCGCCCTTGTCTTTCAACAGCGCCACCCACAAGCCTTGTTGCTTCAGCAACGCTTGCATCTTGATCTGCCAGAGACTGAAACTGTTTCTCCCTGTGAACTTGTCGATGCTCATACTGTACCCAGACATCTTCTCACCAGATGCGGAAACCCTAGAACCTGGCTCTGATACCAGTTTGTTATAACGGATGCGAGAAGAAGCAGTAAAAGTAAAGAACACGACACAGAATTAACGTGGTTCACCAACGATGTGTTGGTTACATCCACGGGCAAAGGAGACTGATTTATTGATGGAGGCAGAAAGTTTCAGAATACATCAACATTAGGATAACGAAGTTACTTATAGGAAAGACCTAGAAACCCTAATAGTATGTGAGTTGGGCTTCCACACTGAAGCCCATGTAGACATCACGAACTGACCACTGTGCGGCCCGTATGCGCCTTCTCTGCAGCCTTACGTAACTTCCAGGATGTATCATCACGCAGACTGCAGCTTCATCATGTAGCATCACGCAGAGTCGCAGACTGTAGCTTCAGTGTGTAGGAACACACGAGTCGCAGACTGTAGCTTCAGTATATAGCATCACACAGAGTCGCAGACTGTAGCTTCAGTGTGTAGCATCACACAGAGTCGCAGACTGTAGCTTCAATGTATAGCATCACACAGAGTCGCAGACTGTAGCTTCAGTGTGTAACATCATGGCTGATCAAAGAGCATGTACACATCACCGCCTACTCAACCAATATGCATACATTGATAGATTCAAGGCACATCAACATGGTCCTTTATCTACAGATGTGTTTACATCAGAACGTTACAAATGGCAAAACACATGATCTTGAGGGTATAAATAAAGTGTCTCTATATAAACACATGGTCCAATTCAAGTTAGTTGGCTCGGTACAAAAAGAAAATGGAAATCAATGAACCTAAGGATATGCATGTTCTAAACTCTTACCTTATTAAACTAACATTATAAAGAAGAAAAATCAAAAAGCGCCCACCGTGGGGCTCGAACCCACGACCACAAGGTTAAGAGCCTTGCGCTCTACCAACTGAGCTAGACGGGCATTCAATTTGTATTTATTAACTAATTTCTTAGCAAATTAAAATGTACCTTCTTCATAGGCCACTGAAGAACAGCATCCCATTGGGAAGGAGGAGATATGAGACTCAGTTTGAGAAGAACTTCCTGCCACACTTGAAGAGAGAATGAGCAGCTGAAGAACAAATGGTTTCTCCATTCATCAGAGATCCCACAAAGAAGGCTCGTTTCAGCGTTTGTTCTACTTCACAACCCCATCTTGTAATGCGATCAAGTGTTGCGTTTCGGTTCAGAACAAAGAGCCAAGCAGAGATGGCATGTTTTGGAATCCTCACGTTGTGCCATATTAGTTGTGCCTCAGGAACCTCAGGTTTGGATTCTCTCATACAGTTCCATACTTGGAGACAGAGCCGTGCGAAGCTTAACAACTACCATAAGCGAGCTCAAAAAAATGCCTTAATTCATAAACAAAAAACTTAAAATAAGGATTGTCACAAAGCAAAAAACACATTGATTTCTGTTTTCTCTCTTCTTCCTTTTTTTGCTTCTTCTTTCTGTTTTGTGCTCCACACAGTTGATTTCTTTTGTTCAATGAAAATTTTCTATTATACAGAAGGTAAAATTATGGATTTAGGATGAGTACTCACAGATTTTGTAAAAACGTGGATGAAAATTGTTTACAAAATAACAAATTAATTGAAAATAACAGATAAAAGTAATATTTTACCTTAATTGTAACTAGAGAAAAACTTGAAAAGCTCTAAAACTAATGCACCTATTGAACTCCTTATCAATGATTAACAACAAAGCCGTAAGTCCAAGGAAGAGGAAAAAGAGCTTAATTGATTTTTCCCCTAATTGTTTTTTTCTTTCGTTTCTACCTTATTTACTTGATTACTTAAATTATTAATTTTGTAGAAATTTCTTTAAGCACATATATTTACTTACCTGTAGCCCTGGTCCATAAAGTTAATGGCCTATATATGAATTTCTTCAAGAAATTGCTGCCCTAAATTTTTTTCTAATTATTTGCTGCCGTAAGCAAATGTTTAAAAAAATTCAACGTAGGCACGGCCCTGCTTGGAGAGAAGAGAATGAATTCTGGATTACCTCATCAACAACCCAGACCGTTTGATCACTCGATACAGATATCTGCAGTGTAGTGACAAACACATGTAGATTTAGTTGTTTCTCTAACCTCGCTGGAGGTAAAAGCTGCCCTGAGGTGTAATTAATGTCACTGATTGTTGAGAATAAATGTATGCCCATTGAGGAAAGGTCCGTTACAGCCAATGTAGTGGATCAATGGTCCATACAGAGTCTACATATCCCACCAAAAAAGGTGTCCTCACCGTTACCTATCAGGGTTGAGAGAGAGAGAGTTAGTTTTAACTCTGAGATTTTAATAGCTGACAGAACATCCAAGAAAACTTGTAATTCTTTTCTATTTAGGGTCTAAAATGGAGAGTGGAAAAGATGCTTTTATCCTCATATAGTAGAAAGTAGAAAATCTATAAATTAATACTATAAATCATATTATATGAAAAGGGGTCAACCTTCTCCATATTTTGGACATGTATTTTGGACATGTAGATACAAGAGAAGAAGACACTTGGCATGTTTTCTTTTCACTTTTTCATTTAAAAAAAAATTATAATAGCTTTTTCATTCTTCCACCTCTACTGGCCGTTTTAATTTTAACCTGAAAAATTAGGGTACACTCGTCAGTCTCTTTAACTCTTTCATCTTCTCCATACTTTGTGAAACGTTACACTAAATTAGAAAATGCAGTCTCCCCTGTGTTTTAGTTCTATTGTTTATTTCACAGAAGCCACAATAGTAGTCCTAATTCATATGAAGAAACTTATAATATAGATGAAGTAATTAAACGGCTAAACGCTGCCTCTTCTCTCTTTTTATTATTGGGCCTAATCAAGAAATATGTTACTTTATTCAGATGGAAATGCTGCTGCTCAGCCATATATATGAGGTCTACAGCGAATTAAGAATATATCTTCGGCATTGGTACGTAAACTTCAATTATTTCCTCTGTTATCTTTATAAAATTTTCACATCCACAGTTTACAATGAAAAATATTTCAGGGTCGCTGAGTGGTTTGTAATAGTAATATTCTCAAATGCGATAACATGTTTATTTACAAACTCCAGTTTGAGAAGATACAATAAGAAAAATATAAGATGATACACAAAAGCAGATGGAGGTAAAGGAATTGGAGGAATAAAACCGAGCAAACTTGATCATGAAGATGCACATATCTGGCTCGCAGAGGCGTCAGGTACATACTCGGTTAAGACAGGGTATCATGTGGATTTCTCCCTACAACAACAAGATACCATGCCTTATCAGGATGATGAGATCACAGGAATCAACTGGAACAAAGATGTTTGGAATGGAAAAACCTCACAGAAGCTGAAGGTGTACCTCTGGAAGTTGTGTAGTGGGGCACTTGCTCTCGGAGAGAACCTCCTTAACTGTGGGATCGAAAGCAATGCTACCTGTAACCGGTGTGGAGAACTTGAAACGCGAGACCACTTCCTGTTCCACTGTGATTTTGCAAAAAGAACTTGGGATCTAGCCCCTCTAGCTAACCGACAGCCTTTCACGAACAATCAGAGCTTTATCGAGGTACTACAGAGATCAAAATCTTGGATTAACCTCCCGCCAACGGGAATTACCGGTGCGTGGAGCTTCCCATGGATTGCTTGGAGCCTTTGGTTAAATCGCAATAATCAAATCTTCGAAGATAGGGGCTTCTCACCCATGGACACGATAACAAAGGCAATGGCGAACGCCAGAGAATGGGAAAGGGCCCAAGAGATGACGGCAATGCAGGAGAAGAAGGGAAGAAGCTCACTAAGCCACCAATCAGCAACTCATCCGATTATAGTGAGTGTGGATGCAGCTTGGAGAGCATATACACAGACCGCGGAATTGGGATGGAGCTTTTCCGACTGTAACCAAACGATCCTAGAAGAAGGCAGCAGCGCGGAGGTCCCGGTCCTCTCCTCCCTCGCAGCGGAGGCGTTAGCAATCCGAGAAGCCCTCATCCAAGCAAAAGCCAGAAATTGGACCGATCTCTGCCTCAGATCCGATTCACAAACGCTCGTTCGAACCATAAGATCAAACGACAAAATTGCAGAAATCTTGGGAGTCCTTCGCGACATCAAATCTCTAGCATCTTCCTTTGTCTCGATCTCAGTCGTTTTTACACCAAGAGCTGATAATACTCGAGCCGATTCCTTGGCAAAAGCAGCTCTTGCTTTGTTTGTAACGCCGTTTCAGTGAACTTGTTTTTAATAAAATGATAGTTCAAAAAAAAAAAAGGTAAAGGAATTGGAATTGGAATTGTTTTGTTTTGTTTTCTCTTCTCACTTTTCGCCCATATTTAATAAATTTACGATAGTATATCTTGTTGTTTGTGTCTCTCTTCGTGTATGAAAATTATTGTGATGATTATTGTAATTAGTATGATAAAATTTGCATAATAAAAACCCGCGCATATGCACGGACATAGATCTAGTACACTTGATTTTCTTAAGAAACATATGTAAATATATAATACCCACTTAATATAATAAATTAATATCTTTCATAAACAAATCTTATTAAAATATATATCCTATGATAATATATTAAATATAAGTATAGTACTGTTGTTTTATTTAAATTTAAATTCTACTCCCTCCGTTTCAAATTACTTGTCGTTTTGGCAAAATGAATCTGCAATTATTTGGATGTATCTGCAATGCAAAACACGTCCATGTACGTCCAAATATTTGCAGATACATTTTGCCAAAACGACAACTAATTTGAAACGGATGGAGTATTACAACTTATATCTTATTTTAGAATAGGTTTTTCAAAATATTAATAAAAGATTAAAGTCCCGGCATTATTATTTATAGAGTTTCTACTGCATATTGATCACTTGTAAACTAGTTTATCCATGATTTTGCTTGATGCATATTGACCTCGCCTTGCCCTCCATGACCTCCCCACACTTTTGAATAGATCCCATTTTCTCTAGCTCTCCAATCCCACAAGGCTCCACGATCCGAAGGACTAACCTGTTTGAATGCTGTAAAGCTCTGATGGTGTCTAAAATTAGGCCCTTGTTTCAATGTACACATAAAACGCGTTGTGCCCCAAATGTTTGTATTGAATCTGATGATGTAAGATTGTCTAGGTTCTAATACTCGCGGACCTATTTTGTCGTCTCCAGAGTAACAGCTCATCCAGAGTTTTTTTTTCTGGAATTTGAGTTCGTTCGAGATCTTGATATTCCCTTGTACATGGTGGATAATCATGCAGAGGCTAAGAAAAAATATAAAGATTGATAAATTTTTCTTTTTTTGGGTTAAATTAGAGGGGATTATTGGGAGATGAATTTTTATAGAGTTGATTTAAATTAATACTTAAGAGAGTTGTTGAATTTATAAAGAGGTTATGTTAGATTTAGAGAGAGTTTGTATATTTAGAAAATCAAGCAAAATATTTGAATGGATTTTGAGAATCTAAAGATTATATGTAGTATTTTTGAAATTTTATTCCATGAATTAATATTCTTAAAATCAATGTTCTAATAACAAAGATTTTAATGGATTTATGAAATCCTTAAAACACAAACATCTTAAATAACAATGGATTTCATATGAATTTTAGAAATCACCAAACAAATAACTAACATATTTTAGTAAGATTGGTAGAATTCATAAACCAATATCAAAGATTTCTGAACATTTTAACAGTTCTTTAAAATCCATCTACTTCCCTTAGATGTTTAGATCTTTTATTGTTTAGATATATACATCCATATATAATTTCTTGTGCCTCTAATGTAAATCATATATAATAAATATTCGTTTTGTATCTTTTTAGTTGTCGTTTGTTTTATAGATTTTCACGAATATTAAGAAACTTATTAAATATCTCATTTTATCCCTAATTAATAATATGTTTGGTTTGATATATATGAATACTTAATAAGTTAAAAGTGTAGGGATAAAACGGAAAGAACTATAATAGTTTGCATTAAAATTCAAAACGACAAGTAATATTAAACAAAATTTTAACTATAGAACGATAAGTAGTAATAAGAAATGGAAGGAGTAATAAATAGTAAATAATTCCTCCATTTCACAAAGAGTGTCATATTAAGATTTTATTTTTGTTTCACAAAGAGTGCCATTTTTGTGTTTTCAGTGCAATTTTATCAACTAAAATCCATTTTTAAACTTGTTATATTAATGTATTAATTAAAAAGAGAATATAGTATTAGTATAACTAAAAGGGGTTTTGAATAGTTTTCTTAATAAGTATAACAGAGTAGAGTGACACTCTTTATAAAATAATAAATAACCGATGAATCCTTAGAATATGTGTACATAATATGAGAACTAAAAAAAAAGGAAATATTTATACAGTTATGACTGCATCAATTTCATGAAAGACGTATGGTTTGGTGAAGAGTAACTCTTATCTCTTTGTAACATCCCAATTTGTAATAAATAAAAAGAGATTTAAAAGAATTAATTTGACTACCTATGTCAACAAAGTATATTTATTTTCTCGGTCAAATATTCATAAGTAACTCCAGAGTTAAACGTGCTTGAGCTAGAGTATTGGAACAATGGGTGACCTTCCGGGAAGTGATTTTCAAAACTATATGAGTGAGGCAAAAAAACACGGGGAAATATCGGATGTTGGTTGTAGGGATAGTAAACAAGTCAATAATGCATTTCAAAAATAACGGACCAGTTGTCAGACAGAAGTGGAGCCCACGGACCGGTAAATGGCATGGGTGACTCATCATGATGGGCGGTCGGGCGATATAATTTGGCATTAGAGCCAAACCCAGACAAGAGTGTGTTGCCAAGTAGAATGGCCTTGACTCACACCGTCAGGAGGTGACGATCCATGTGCGCAACGAGAACATTACGTGCAGTGGGGGTGAATTATAACATCCCAGTTTGTGATAAATGAGGAGAGGCTTAAAAGAACTGATTTAACTACCTATATCAACAAATTGCACTTACCTTTTCGGTCAAAGGTCCATAAGTAACTCCGGAGTTAAGCGTGCTTGGGCCGGAGTAGTGGAATGATGGGTGACCTTTCGGGAAGAAATTTATGAAACCGTGTGAGTGAGGCCAAAGGGAAATGTCGGATGTTGATTGCAAAGATAGTAATCAAGTCATTAGAGCCTTTCAAAAATAACAAACTAACCGTTGGACAGGGGTGGGGCCCACATGCTAGGAGAGGGCGTGGGTGACTCACCAGGATGGGTGATCGGGGAGTTATAATTTGGTATCAGAGCCAAACTCAGACGAAAATGTGAAGTCAAGTGGAGTGGCCTTGACTCACACCATCAAAGGATGACGATCTAGGTGCGCCACGAGGATGTTGCGCGCAATGAGTTGGGGTGAGTTATAACATTCCGGTTTGTGATAAATGAAGAGATGCTTAAGAGAATTGAATTGACTACCTATGTCAACAAAGTGCACTTACCTTTTCGGTGAAAGGTCTATAAGTAATTACAGAATTAGACGTGCTTGAGCTGGAGTAGTGGAAGAATGGGTGACTTTCCAGGAAGTGATTTCCGAAACCGTGTGACTGAGATCAAAACACAAGGAAAAATCGGGTGTTGATTGAATAGATAGTAAACAAGTCATTAGAGCCTCTAAAAAAGGGACCAACCGTCGGACAGAGGTGGGGCCATGGACCGGTGGTTTGGGTGACTCAAGGAGATGGACGATCGGGGCATTATACTCTCTGTCGTGGAACTGTGGATAATTTGTTTGATAAACCATCTTGTTCCAAGTTTGTGTTGACAAGGAAACATATTTTGAATTGTCTATGCTTTTTATTTGGTTTTTTTATTTATTGTAGAGTTGAATCTACTTTTTTGTTGTTGTGACTTGTGACATGTAATGAAAAGTTTTAAGATTCGTTAAATCTCAGTTTCCATTCGCCTTCCATGTGCGTCAATTGCAGTTTCAGGAACTGCCATGCATAATTCTTGTAGCTTTCTTCTGACTAATGGTTTAACTTTCTTCTGCAAGACATTCTTCAGATCCTCCTCAGAAAACTCTTTCACAGTGTTGGACTTGGCGGAAAAACCACCTGCGACGTTGGAACCAGCAACTGAACCAGCAACTCCATTTTCCATACCCTTTCTTCTCTTCGGAGCATTAGCCAACGAAACACCAGGCGCTCTTTTGGTATACTCTCTACGCACAACCTCGTCTTTCCGTGGCCCGCTCTGTGGAGCATGAGTAGGGTTTTTGGTTCCAGTGTACACATTACTCCACTCAAACGAATCGTACTCACCACCATACACACCATTACCGTCTCTGATTTTCTTTCTTCCGTCTGTTGCCTGACGGATGGAGTCAAACCTGAAGCTGGAGGATCTGTTTCCACAGCTATGAACGGCTTACGACAGTTGTGACACAGGAGGTTCTGGTTTAGGTAAATACGATGATACTCGTACTGTGTCTTGCAAGTGCGGCAAACAGTCCAAAACGTTCCAGTGTTCCACCACCAGTAGCGCAGCCAAATGGACATTAAGCCACTGTAACGAGGCTTATATCGTTGAGAAGTGATAGTGTTTTTGATTTCGCAGTCTAGACCCTTAAAGATAATTTCCGGAGCCATCGTCTAAAGGTTGTGAAGTATGTTGTTTCTTTGCTTCCATACATCCATCGTAGCTTGTGCAAGCCTTCGAAGAAGAGTTGGTTACAAAAAAGTTTGGAAAAACCTCTTACAAAATAATTTTCATGTGGCCTCCAATAACCTCATGTATACATAAAAATGTATATACAAAGTAGTGATTCACTCAGTTTGTGCTACATTTGCTTTAATATGATATTTATTAGACATCTATTGAGTTTGGTTTAGAATATATTGACGATATGCAAAACACTTAAATATATTTTTTTAAGTTATTATCTTGCAGCAACTGGATGGGCAGCACTATTAGGTTCCTTTGATGCTGTCCCACAACCTTCAAGATCGAGATCCAGTGGTTCTTGTTTGGTAACGGATGCAGGATCATCCTTGCTTTTGCCCCATAGAAGTATATAAAGTCCCACGACGACGATCACTGATCCTATCACACTTTTTGTCATGCCACATATATATTTCATTTTGTCAGAAATTATTAGTTCTAAAAGTTAAAAAGAACCATACAATATCTACCTTTAGGTTTAGGGGAAAGAAATGCATATAATTAGCTGTCATTTCTGTAACCTTTTTTATTTGTATTTAGCCCGTTCTAATTCAATCTCAACATCGATCCAAGGTGTATATATATTCTATAAATTTAATAGTTTTATATATTTTTTTATGCAATATATGATGCATGGCATCGACTTGGTTGATGCCAATTCCACGTTCAAAATATACGTACGTAAATATAAAATTCACGCAGATGAAAGGGGTCTTTACTCTTTAATATATGCATATTCTATTCAAGTCAATGAATATTTTTAATATGTATTATGCAATATTGTATCAAGATGCGTTTGATTTAAATTGAAATCGTTTGTTTGTACGTACGTTGAAATGATCAGATGTATAAAGCATATAATTATATAAATAAATAGAAAGAATTTTAGTAGATTACCTTCCGGAGTAAATTTGCTCATGAAGAATAGAGAAGCTGAAAATGGCAGCAAAGACTTGAATCAAAGGGATGAAGCAAGACGTGAAAACCGGACCTCTTTGCCGGAGACACCACGACATTCCCACGTAGCACAATCCCGATCCCACGATACCCTATTTAATATCCGATCATGGTTGGTAGGTGCACATATAATCACGTTGTAACGGTTTCTTGAAATCATAATATTAAGTGCTGTACTTTGAATACTTACAGAATAAAGTAGAGCTAAAACTTCGAAGCTATCTTTAACAACCCACATGGAAATGCTCCTCTCCGAGATCAAACTCAACAAAGCAGATTGGATCACACCAAAGAAAGAGAGAATCGCAGTGCTCGAGTATTGGCATGGATAAATCCGGCTTATTTTAGCTTGAACGATGAACCAGAACGACCATATCAATATTGATTTGATCAGCATGACCGAACCCATTCCCCACTTTTGGGTTGTCGCAGCGGTTGAACCATTTGTCATTTGCGTTTGCATTTGAGCGTTTTGTCGAGTCAACGCGGGTCCTTTATAAAGCGTAAGCACCAAAGCTCCACAAATGCATATCATTGTGCCTAACACTTTGGCTCTTCCTATATTGCTCATGATGTTCAGAGTCTCTTGCCTAATTATTAAAGTTTTTAATTATATTGTATATATAGTTGATAAACGAACTTGTGTTAATTAGATGTAACGAAGAAGCCAGCTGTGTTTGATCGAGTTTCATTACCTGAAGACCAAAGCCAACGCAAAAGTGATCGAAGGAACCATGTTGCTAAACGCTGAGGAGAAAGTGGAAGACGTATATTGTAGTCCAATAAGAAAGGTGGATGTGGCTAAAGGTATTCTTATGCTCAACTCTCAAGTCAACCAAAGCGGAAGATTTGGTTGCTAATGGTTCATTATATGTTCCTATTTCTTTTTCCAACTTGTAATCTCTCTTTTAACAACTGTATGACTTGTGTCGTAGCCATGTAACCGTTATTTCTATATATAAAAAAAAAAAAAAGTATTGCACCAAACTTGTCCTGCCAATTTGTCAGTGATCAAAATTTAGACAATTTGTTAACATCCTTTACTATTGCAAGTGAAACTCTGTTAAAAGAAACCTACCCCAGAAGAGCGCTAAAGAAGAGTGAACACAAGATACTAACTGTGAGTTTTGGCCTGTTATGTCTGCAGAAAGAAAACCAATTATTTTTGTTATACAGAAGAGATCGAAACAACATTCAACAAGACACTCGAATAAACAAGACAGCAACAATTATAATACAAATTTACACACACAAAAAAAAAAAAAATACTTCAGAGATTATAGCTAATCAACAAAACCAAGAAAATATAGGGTGACTGGGTGAGCTGAAAATTTACGACGAAGAAGATATTATGTATTACATATACAGACACATACCTTTCCAAGAAAATCGCAATTGGTATCAAGAACAGAGTTCCAACGGCAAGTCGATAAGTGGTCGCGACCATACTGTTGACTCCTTGATTAAGCATCTTCTTGAACAAAACGTTTACAAGGCCTAGCCCAATGTTGATCATCGACATCATAAACACAGCTTTCCACAGTTTCGCATCAAACTTCACCATAGTTAGTGCTATATGTATGGATATGTGTGCGTGTGTATATATATAATATGTGGACACTTTATTTTTGGGCTTTAATATAATATATGTATACTTGTCTTTATGTAGTTTTCTGAAATTGCTATGAAATAAAGATTGATGAGGGTGTGAGTGTGACTATGGGTCTGACTGGTTTAACCGCTGCGGTTGCGGTTGCGGGTGCGGGAGTTTGCGGAAGCGGGCGGTTGTGATTAGTAGCGTTATTAAGCGGTTTGTACGACTGGCATAACAATTGAAAATGGATGCGTTTGCGGGTTACTTATGACTGGTTCACTTGCGGATGCAATAGCGGTTAAACAATAAATTAATAATATAAACACATTATATAATTATAAAAATATCAAAAATATTATAATGAAAATTTTAAATTTATGGTTCAACATAATTAAAAATATTTTTTTATAAATAATAATATGTGTATAATACTTACGTCTATCTTTTAATTTCTATAATTTAAATAAAAATGTGATTTTATTTTCAAAATATATATTTAATGTGAAAATTAAATTTATTTTACAATTTTATTTATTAGATATATATGTATTAGTATGAAAAGAATATTTATGAAGAGAATTTTGATTTGTAGAACTTATAAATATATAAGTATTATATGATTTTAATGAATATTGACTAAAAGTACTAATTTTTTATTTATATTGTGATTTTATTATCCAAATCTTATTTTTTAATAAATATTATTATTTATTTTCGGATTTTATATAAGTTTGTGTTTTTTTTTTTTTTTTAATTATCCACCCGCAACCGCAAACGCTTGCGGAAAGGAGCTTTTGATTTTCAGCGATATAGAGCGGTACAGAGTGGTATAGAGCGATTCAAAGCGGTTGTCGTGATTGTTATAAACCGCCGAAAACCGCTACGAACCGCAAACGCTGCGTTTGCGGGTGGTAGCGGGAGAACCAATCAGGCCCATATATATCATCCCAGTCGTCTTTAACTGATCTCATTGTGCTTTTTTAGCAAAAAATAAAAAAGATCTCGCTGTGCTTTGAGCTTTGCTTTTTTTGTTTGTCTTCATTATTCTTTTCAACTATTCATAAATATATAATGGAAACTCTCGTAGCGTCCACCATCAGGACGTGAGATCATATAGCATTTATATGTTTATTTCACTATACCTCTATATACAACTTGATTGAGAACATCTGAACATAAAGGGTTTCGGCCACAAAAAAAAGAACATAAAGGGTTTCATAAGCCCCTTGCGGGCTGCGGCTACGGTATGAGTGTAACATCCATAAACCAAAAATTGGAATTTCGTCGGTTCAATTTAAGTGATTTGGTTTGGGCCGGTTTAGTGGAGAAAGCCCTAAAATCAAGTTTAAAGAGTGCAGCCGTCTTCTCTTTGGAGAATTTTCGAGCTCAAAGGCTGCAGAGGAGAAAAGTGGAGTTTTTGGAGAGATTTTCGAGTTTTACTGTTCATCGGGTTACTGTTCATCGGGGTACTATTCATCGGGGTACTGTTCATCGTCGGGATTTCCGCACTGTTCATTGTCTTTCCTTCAGTTTCAATCCATTGTCAAGGTGAGTGCATGACTGTGGGTCCGCGATTTGCTAGATTAGATTTGGTTTATGATTGTTCTTGATGAGTTTTTGTGTTTAATTGTTATTTCATGATATTTTGGTTGTTTATGTGGTGAATTGTGTGTTTGTGTGGTTAAATCTGGTTTAATTGAATTTGATTTTGGTTTATCTTGGTTCAATTGAATTTAATTGGTTTATATTGTTTAATTGAATTTAATTGGTTTAATTGAATTTAATTGATTTGATTCTGGTTTATCTTGGTTCAATTGAATTTAATTGGTTTAATTGAATTTAATTGGTTTAATGGAATTAAATAGATTTAATTCGGATTTAATTAATTAAATAATATTTATTTAATTAATTGGTTTAAAATAATTATTTTAATTATTTTAAAATATGGAAAATTATTATTTAATTATGAGAATTATTTAATAATTGAGAAATTGAGTTTTAATTATTAAAAATTATTTAATAATTGGAAAATGGTATTTAATAATTATTGGAGTTTATAAATATTATTAAATATCTAGTAAATTGCGTAAATGGCTCGTAGGCAGAGTGATTGCCTCACTAAGTATTTATTAAATACTTACGCAACTCCATTCCAATGTGTTGCAGGTAAAAGATTTGTGTGATCGCGGAATCAAGGCTGAAGAGGGGGATGATAGGATGTTTACTGTTTTATTATTTTGCATTGTTTTTGCTAGACTTGTTTAATTATTATTTGCTTTGATGATTTATTTGTTTTTTGTTGATGATTTTATTTATTTAATTTATTTAAAGACTTCGCTAGAATGTTATTTAATTTATTTTAAAAAAAAAATGTTG